TTTTCATTTTCTTTCATTTTTCAGTGTTTCTTTTTTCAATGTTTCGGTTTCATTATTTTTCGTTCTTTCACCTTCAATTTTCAATTTCTGAGCTCTAAATTTTTCAATTTTTCAAGTCTTGATTTTTATTTTGCATTTTCCCGATTTCTTAATTATCATTTTCTCGCTTTTATATCATAGTTTTTCGTTTTTTCATGTCCTTCATTTTGTAAATGTATCTTTCGATTTTATAATTTTTCCTTTATTTATTCGAATAATTGGAAAACCCAGAAACTGTAAACTCGAAAAATTATAGAATCATCAAGAATGTGAAGTCGAAATACTGTAACATTGAAAAATCGAAAAATTGAAAAATTAAATATCGAGAAATTGAAAAATTAAAATCGAAAAATTGAACAATTAAAAGTCGAAAAACTGAAAAATCAAATCAATGAAAAAGTGAAAAATTTTAAAACTCATAATTAACATTACATATTTAAATTGAAAACTAGAAAAATTGCCAAAAATTGGAAAACCGAAAAACTGAAAACTTTAAAAATGAAAACTGGAAGAATCATAAAATTGAAGAAACAAAAAAAATATGAAAAATTAAAATCGAAAAATTACAAAAACGTACAATTTTTCGATTACTGTCTTGATTTTTATTTTTCATTTTTCCGATTTTTTAATTTTCATTTTCTCGATTTTATGTCACAGTTTTTCGTTTTTTCATTTCCTTTTTTTGTATTTTTTTCGATTTTTTTATTTTTCGTTCAATTTTTGCAATTTTTAGATTTTCAGTTATCCGATTTTCCGTTTTCTTTCATTTTCAATATTTCGATTTTATTATACATATTTCGTTTTTCGATTTTGCACTTTTTCGATTTTGATTTTTCGTTTCTACAATTTTTCAAGTTCGTTATTTCCAATTTTTAGATTTTTCAAAGTTTTCATTTTATATTTTTCGGAAAATTATAAAATCGGAAGTTTGAAGAATCGAAAAATTGTAAAATTAAAGAATCGGAAAATTGAAAAATTAAAAATTAAAGACCGGAGAAATTTTAAATCGCAAAATTACAAAATCGAAAAATTAAAAAGAAAAATTGCAAAAAAATACAGTTTTTCATTTTCTGTCTTGTTTCTTTTTTCATTTTTCCGATTTTTTATTTTTCTTTTTCTCGATTTTATAATTTTTTGTTTATATTCAATTTTTCAAATTTTCAATCTTTGATTTTCAATTCCTCGATTTTCTATTTTTTAAATTTTCAATTTTTGGTTTTCTTGGGTTTTCAGTTATCCGATTTTCCGTTTTCTTTCATTTTCAGTTATTCGATTTTACTATACATATTTCATTTTTTCGATTTTGCACGTTTTCGATTTTTAAGTGTCTCAATTTTTAAGTTTTCGATTTTGATTTTTCGTTTCTACAATTTTCCAAGTTCGTTATTTCCAATTTTTAGATTTTTCAAAGTTTTCATTTTATATTTTTCGAAAAATTATAAAATCGAAACTTTGAAGAATCGAAAAATTGTAAAATTAAAGAATCGGAAAATTGAAAAATTAAAAATTAAAACCGGAGAAATTTTAAATCGCAAAATTACAAAATCGAAAAATTAAAAAGAAATTACAAAAAAATACAGTTTTTCATTTTCTGTCTTGTTTTTTTTTTCATTTTTCCGATTTTTTATTTTTCATTTTCTGGATTTTATAATTTTTCGTTTGTATTCAATTTTTCAAATTTTCAATTTTTGCTTTTCTTGGGTTTTCAGTTATCCGATTTTCTGTTTTCTTTCATTTTCAATGTTTCGTTTGTCGATTTTGCGCTTTTTCGATTTTTAAGTTTCTCAATTTTTAACCTTTCGATTTTGATTTTTCGATTGTTCAGTTTTTCAAGTTCTTGATTTCCACTTTTTAGATTTTTCATTTTATATTTTTCGTTTTTTCACTTTTGATTTTTTAAGTTTACAATTTTGAAATTTTTGCATTTGTTTGATTCACTGACAAACTGAAGAAACGAAAAATTGCAAAATCGAAAAAGTGGAAAATTGAAACATTACAAATCGAACAACTGAAGAAATGAAAAATTGTAACATTCAAAAACTAAAAATCGAGAAAATTAATGAATCGAAAAATTGGAAAACTCAAAAATTGTAAAATTGGAAAACTAGACAAATTTCAATCAGGCAAGCAATCAATGGTTTAGTTTGACAAATTAAATCAATAATTAAATCAAAAAATTGAACAATCGAGTAACTGCGAAATCGAAAAATTGAAAACCCAAAAATTGAAAAATTTCTCATTGAATAAAAGAAAAATCATAAAATCAGAACACAGAAAAACCCTAAAATTGAAAAAATAAAGAAAATAAGAAACCGAAACGAAAAATTGCAAATCGAAATAACATGAAAAATCGAAAAATTAAAAATTGAAAATTCGTGAAACTACAAATTAATGTAAAAATTGAAATATTTAAAAGCTGAAAACTTTAAAAATCAAAACTCGAGAAGTTGCAAATTCAAGAAACAAAAAAAAAATAAAGAAATAATTGGAAATCGAAAAATTAACGAAACAAAAAATTGAAAAAGTTGTAATTGGGAAAACAGAATAATTATAAAATCAAAACCCTGAAAATTTGGAAAATTGAAAAAATAGCGAAAAAATAAAAAACTGAAACAAAAAACTGAAAAATTAAAAATTGAAATATTAAATCGAAAAATTGCAAAATCTAAAAATTGAAGAAACCAGAAAAATGAAAATTTGAAAAACCGCAAATCGAAAAATTGAAAAAATTAAAATTGAAAAACCAAAAAATTAGAAAATCGAACAATTTTCGTTCTGTCAACTTTAATGTTTTCCCTTTTTCAATTTCTCAACTTCAAAATTTTGCAATTTTTCGATTTACGATTTTTTAATTTTCATTTTACGATTTTATATTACAGTTTTTGGTCTTTGTTTTTTGAATGTTTCTTTCGGTTTTTAAATACTTTTTCATTTGTTCAATTTTTCAAATTTTAATCTTTGATGTTTCAGTTCCTCGAATTTCCACCTTTTAAATTTTCCAGTTTTGCTTTCTTTGGATTATCAGTTAACCGATTTTCCGGGTTCTTTATAGTAATTAATTTTTAATACATATTTTGATTTTACGGTCATATTTCGTTTTTTTGATTTTGCACTTTTTCGATTCTTAAGTTTCTCAATTTTTAATCTTCCGATTTTGATTTTCGTTTCTTCAATTTTTCAAAGTTCTCATTGTATACTTTTTTGTTTTTTCGTTTTTGATTTTTCAATTTTATAATTTTGCAATTTTTGCTTTTGATTTATTCGAAAAGAAAAGTTGAAAAATCGAAAACTAAAAAACCGAAAACACGAAAAATTGTTAAATCGAAAAAGTGGAAAATGGAAAAAATGCAAATCGAACAACTGCTGAAGTGAAAAACTGTAACATTGAAAAACTAAAAATCAAGAAACTTAAAAATCGAAAAAAATTACTGAATCGAAAACTTGGAAAGAAGGAAAAACGAATCTAATCGAAAAATTGGAAAGAAGGAAAAACGAATCTAATCGAAAAACTGGACAAAAAAAAGTTTTAAAATCCATTAATTGAAAAATGGAAAAATTCTAAAATCGTAAATTTGAAAAAGTGAAAAATCTTAAAAATTATAATTAGATATTATATATTTAAAATGAAAACTAGAAAAATCGCAAATCGAAAAGTTGAAAAATCCAAAAATTGAAAATTTTTGCATTGAAAAAAGAAAAATTATAAAATCAAAATATTGAGAAACCGAAAAATTGAAAAAATAAAGGAAAAAAAATCGAAACGAAAAATTGCAATCGAAAACTGAAAAATTAAAAATTGAAAACTTGTGGAATTGCAAATCGAAATTACGAGAACGAATAAGTTTCTTACATTTATTTCATTTTTTTTTTAATCATTTTAACCAACAGATATTTAGTAACATGAGTTTCTAAAATCTTTTTTATGAAATTTACGTAGTATAAGGAACTATCCATTAGTTTAATTTCTTTTAAAAATTTTATATAAGGTGAAATATAGTGAAATCTCAGTAAGTTAGTAATAAATCTCACACAGCTATTTTGAATTATTTGTAATTTGCTTTTGTCATACTTCAAGAGACACGGAAAAATTGGAAAATGTAAAACTGAAACATCCAGCAGTTGGAAAATGAAAAATTGCAAATAAAAAAATTGAAGAAACGAAAAATTGAAAAAATTTAAACTGAAAAATTAAAAAATTATAAAATGGAAACATTGAAACTTTGAAAAATTATAAATGATGAAAATAAAAAACCGAAACGCAAAATTGCAAATTGAAAATTTGAAGAAACGGAAAATGAACGAAAACTCCAGAAATTTTTAAGTCGAAAAATTGCAAAATCTAGAAATTGAAAAAACAAATTATTATCAAATCGGAACATAGAAAAATCGAATAATTGGAAAATGAAAAATTGAAAACTCGAAAAACTCAACTCAAAACTGCAAAATCTAGTATTTGAAAAATTAAAGTCAAGAAAACTGCCACTGGTTTTTATTTATACAGGTTATCAGAAAACAAAAATCGCAACAAATTTTGATATCTTTCAAAGAAGCTGGATTTGTTGTTACACCAGTTTCAATTCGTTTCATTGAACTGATTCTTAAAAAATTTGGTTATGCATCAATAATAATATGTTCTCGAGTCAAGTATCAATGAAAATAGTGAAAATTAGTTCCTAAAATATATATATGACAGTGTATACCCAGATTTTATGTTTTGTTTTATATATAAGTATAAATTACTCCTTTGAAAATACAAAGACAAATATGATTATTTTTATGAGTTTTGGAGAGAAAGTAAAATGGAAGCCATAAACCCAAGTTCTAAAACTGCTCAACCCATTCCACATTCCTCACTACATGGCACCACTACTGACGTCCAGTAGACGAGCATCCATTATCCCTGTTTTTATTGTAACTTTTATTGCGCCAGATCGCCCTCCTAATTTTCTTTCTTGTTTCAGGGAAACCGGAAAACATCAGAATTTGCAAAAAACCGAAACCCAAGCGCCAAGGTAAATACGCACCACTCACAATTCAATATCCTCCGTTCTCTAATTTTACCCTGAAATTTTTTCTCCCAAAGACGCGAAGAAACTCTTTCGCTTCTGTAAATCAAATTAAACCCATCCTAGTTTGTAATGGATAGTTTGAGGAACATTTAACTGACGCGACAGTTTGGCGCCGATTTTCCTGTTTTCCCGTTGGCGGAGAGCCCCTAATCCCACCCCCGCATCTACCCCCGCCACTCGCCGCCGCCAATGGAAGGGCTCGTGGTCTTTTGCGACAAGTTAGGGGTTGCGAATGTACAGATATTCTTGTGTTACATCTGAGTTGCATCATTCTAGCGGTGAAACTCGGGCTGTTCGGTTTGTCGGAAGAGCCCCAAGGGCTCTCTGCCACCGTTTCTGTAGTAAGAGTTGATTTTTGCGGAAGTGCATCGAACATGACCGGCCTGACGTAAGTCTAACTTAACATTTTTATTCTGCGATGTTTCGAAATCGGTTGCGAATTTTTCCAACTCTGGCTTTTTGTCCGGGGGTTGAATGATGTGGCTTCGGTGCGTGCGGAGCAAAAACATATCAAGAGGTTAAAGTTAATGCGCCTGCCCGACCTACATATCTCACCCCATTAGTACCCATTGAGAACTTTGCTAGCCAGATGTTTTAGCTTTTTTCACGGGATGAAAATGAAAGCTGGAGGGAGATATTTCGCCGAGTTGGTCGCTAAAGGAGGTTTTTGGTTTGTAGGTGGTTTTTAGGCTGAATTTCGGCTTAACACGAATTTTAGACGAGTATTAGTTTTCAGTAGATTAATGGATTCATTGATGAAATCGGTTCAGTAACCTTCCGTTTTGTTTGCGTGGAGCACGTCGCTCTGAATTTTGTTTATCTTTAAATATCCCTGATACGTAAATATTGTAGTTATAAAAGCTTTAATGTATAATTTAACTGACTGTAAACAAACGAAAAAATTGATGTCTGACACAATGAAAAATTGGCAAAATTCGCACCGAAGTCTGAAGATGAAAACGTTGAAACGTGTACTTGTTCTATTTACGTTCTGTCAATCGAGAGTATTCTTTCATGTGGTCACGTAGTCTAAGACGTACGTGATCAGAAATTTTATTTTTGGCTAGTAGTGGATAGTAAATTGTGTTAACTGGAAACTAAATATATTTTGGTTACGTAAACATTTAAATGTCTTTCGTCACCTAATTTTAAAATACTATGATTTATGTCTTCATTTATCGAAAATAATACCTAATTAACGTATACTTTATAAAAAGTTGTTATTTCCCAATTCGTAACTTATGTAATTTTGTTTGAAAACACTAATATTTTATGTAATCTGCATTATATTTTGATGCAGATACAAATGGGTAACTGGGAAAGTGAGGTTAAGTATTTATTGATCGTGTGTCATATTAACATTAAATAAATAGGTTGTGTTGTATTGTCACGATGTGCAAAATATTTGTTGACGAGGGGTTTCATTTTTATGATATTCCAAATTTCTGCTGGTAAAATTTTTGAGGTTATTACGAAAGGATTCCTATTGGCCATATCGTCACGTTATACGTCTTCAATGACCAATAAAATTCATGAAAAACCATACTCGTTACTACTTGCTTAATTTACGAGATTTCGTTAGACTAATTGTTTTTACCGAAAATTTTTTGGTTTGTCGTAGACCATTAACTTTACATAAAAATTGAGATTTATATTGTATTATAATGATTATTGTGACGAATGCCTGACTTCATATTTTCCCGATATTCCAGTCTGTAGAACACGAAAATACACATCTACCAAATCGCTCACGAAGTTGTATTTGTACTTTGGCATTATATACATGGTAAAAATAGTCTAAAATACTCATATTTTTTATATAAAATTTTACAACATTTCGTAACGAACTTGTCATCTAAAAAATTAATAAATAAATGTTACAAAATATAGATGATTCCAAAAATGTTGCCAGTTTTCGATGGTTGGTCGAACCAAGAACATACAACTTTCTCCTAATTTTTAAAATACTTATGGTTGACAGATTTATCAAATGTCGTAAAATTGACGTCTCTGATTTACTGCACGACACCCCTATATGGTCGGACATAAGATGAAATCACGTATGTTGTATAACAGATGTTTGCTATGGGTCAAAATAAATTAATTGGAAATATTGGAATCTCCTCAGTGTTCGTAAAGTAAGTCCAGAAATTTGATGTTATTGCATTCACTGTTTATAAATCCCAAAGAACAATAGAAAAATCGTTTGTCCGATTTATAATAATCAAACACAGGGCGCAGTCTGCACAGATCCGCACAAGTTTAAATAGAGGGTGTTTCAAAAATGACGCACCAACAGAACGATACATCATTAGGGTTCAGATAGATAGATTAACGGTGGTGAAAAATTAGCCACACATTCAGAACATTTTTTTTTTGTAATATTATAAAATGAATTAAACTATGGATGGAGAGATGATACTTTCAAAATTATTTTGAGTAATGAAAGTTATCAAATATTTAAGACAAAAATTAAACTTGTCTTCTACATTTGGGCTCACAGGTTTTTAGAATGATCTTGTTTCTTCTCAATAAACAGTCTTTCGTAAGACATCATAGAGTTAGTGTGCCGTTTTTAAATCCCCCTGTATATTTAAGTCAGATAACCAACGGGAAAAATATATTATCGGTACATGCTTAACTTCGACTTTCATGCACATACAGTAAAACAATTCCACGATTGATATTTTAAATACAGGCAAGCGCAACAGTAATGTATTCTCAAATTTTCGAGAAAATGGGATGAATCGTTCTTGATTTGATCAGCAACATTTAAATGTCCCATAACACGATTTCAAGTGTATTTATTTTAAAAATAACGAGTGTACAAAATTTCAACGTAATCGATTTTGTAGTTTCTAACTTAAATTATTGGAAAAAAAATTTTTTTGAATTTTATCGAAAAAACCTGCTTGTCTGTCTGTCTATTCGGTATTCTTAAAAAGCCTCTAAAATTTCACAACAATCTTTACTAGTTTCGGAGATTACGGAAACGGGGGACCTATTTTTCATGTTCTACGAACTATGAAACGTCGAGAAAAGATGAAAGTGATTCTTTAAATGGACTTTTATCACAATACTTCCCTACTTTTGACAAATAATACTAAGTTAAAAATGAATTTACATTTTTTACAGAATATCCGAGAGGCATTAAACAATTCTTCAGTTCTTCTTACGTATTTTAAATTTATATTAATTGTTCCATTAGTGACTAAAACTAAAATTTAATTTTCTCGAACCGGGTAATAAGATTCTTTCAATTTTGAATTTAAATTTTTTATATTTCGCTCTTTTTTCTGAATATACTTAGTTAGTGTTCTTCTCATAACGAGAAACTTAAAACATGTTCAAAATGGTCATTATCTCCAAGGAAATAAGGATTTTGCAATTACGCTCCGCCCTCTGACTCCGAAGGAATAAAAAAATCATCATAATTGAGATAGGGCGGGTGGGTGGGCGGGGCTTATATTTTGCCGTTTTTTTCTTAATACACATACTCTTCTTTTCACAACGAGAAACTTAAAACAAGTTCAAAATGGTCAATTTCTGCAGGGAAATGAGGATTTTGCAATTCGCCCTCTGGCTCCTGAGGAATAAAAAAGTCATCCCAATTGAGATAGGGTGGGTGGGCGGGGCTTGTGTTTCGCCCCCTTTTTTTTTCTTAATATACGTGGTCTTCTTTTCACAAGAAGAAACTTGAAACGTGTTGAAAATGGTAAATTTTTATAAGGGTTTTTGCAAATACACTCCTTTCGGTCTGACCATGAATGTAAAATTCATGACAATTGAAATCGGAGTGGGTGTAGGTGTTTAATCTTTGGCTTTCTTTTTTACTTAAGACTTATAGTTTCTTTTGAACAACGCGATTACTTAAAAACATAGTTCACTTGGTCATTTCTTTTAGAAAAATAAGGATTTTACAATTAAGCTCCGCCCCTTGGCTCACGATGAATAAAAAAAAAATCATCGGAATTGAGATTGGGCGGGGCTTATATTTTGTCTTTTTTTTTCTTAATGTACATAGCCATCTTTTCACAGCAAGAAACATAAAACATGGTTAAAATGGTACATTTTGCAAGGAAATATGGATTTTGCAATTATTCCATTTTAAACATGTTTTAAGTTTCTTGTTGTGAAAAGAAGTCTATACATATTAAAACAAAAGGGCAAAATATAAGCCCACCCACCCGCCGCCCTCTCTCAATTGTTATGCTTAACTTAACTGCAAAATACTTATTTCTTTACGAGAAATGAAAAACATGTTTTTGAGTATCGTGTTATTCAAAAAATACTATAATATTAAGAAAAAAAGGCAAAATATAAACCCCGCCCACCCACCCCATCTCAATTGTGATTATTTTTTTATTCTTCGAAACTTATAACATGTTTAAAATGGTGAATTTTTGTAATGAAATGTGGATTTTGCGATTAGGCTCCGCCCCTAGGTTTGCCAACGAATGAAAACTTCATTACTATTTAGAACAGTGCAGGTATAGGTGGGGCTTAATTTTTGGCTTTAATTTTTTCTTAATGTATTTTTTGAATAACACATGTCTTACTTGGTAATATCTTGTAGAGAAGTTGTAAGGATTTTGCAATTAAATTCCGCTCCTTTGGCTCTAGACGATTAAAAAAAAAAATCATCACAATTGAGATAGGGCGGGTGGGCGGGGTTTATATCTTGCCTAATACGTAGTCGTCTTTTCAGAACAAGAACCTTTTAAAACATGTTTAAAATGGTAAATTCTTGTAGACAAATATGGATCTTGTAATTAAGGGTAGGGCCCAATTTTTTAAGTTCCGCCCCCTTGCTGGATCGAAAACACTTTTCAGTTTTCTCAGAAAGAGTAAAAATATGACACTGTATTTTTTAGCCAGAAAAATACTGTAAAAGTAGGCTTTTCGATGGTTAGGAAATTTTTAAAACTGGAGTTCTGAAACCTAGGGATCACGGATATTTCGATAAATGCTTTTACGGTAATCTCATGGATCGAATATTTGAACAATAAATTTGTTTTTGCATGTTTAGAAAAAAATAATACTCGATCATTATTTTAATAAACATCGCTAACAAAGAACGTGAATAATGTAAACCTAAAGTAGACCCCTGTGTCATACCATTAGTTGTGTAAAGATGGACGGATTTACAACCCCTATATTCTGTATCTGATCTCCAAATAAAAACTTTTTTAGGCTGGACAAACAACTTTTCCATTAACAAAGCCCTCGCAAAACTCCCGATAAAAAATAATATAGTGTCTTATAATACTTTAATGGCGTATCACGACATCTCCTGTTGCTCAAAACCGGCCATCACTTCCCCCAAACGCCCTTATGGTTCATACAAACCTTCCCAAAACCTTTGAGAAATAACCGCCGCTAACGCACCCAGCTGACGATTTCTCTCGCGCCGAGATGGCAGAGTAATCGTTTATTGTCACGAAAATCTCCCGGTCGTCAACATCCATCCCTTTGTCTCCATCAATCGCGACCAGCCGTAATTTTTTTACGGCCCCCGAAGCTCAGGTCCGGCGTCGCCCCATCCGCCGCCTCGTCCTTTGTTTTTCCTCGTCACACAGCTCGCCACGCGAGACCCAATTTCGCTGTTTTCGAGCACGTGTTCGCGGCCTATCGATTGACGTCGTCGGTGTGGAGCGACGCCGAAGAGACGCCGGCTAGTCGGACGCTACGGTCGCCTAGCAACCCAGCATCCCCCACTTCTTGCAAGAGAGGCGCCCCCGACGCCCGCCGCCGTGTCGTGCATGATTCAATTATGTGACATGTTCTACTTCTCTCCACCAGTTTATTGACTCATTTCTTAAGTTGTGTATGGATTGATTGGGGTTCCACGCGTGCCGGACCGTAAACGCCGCCGCGGGGGGAGGCGGGGGCGGCGGCTGTTTGGTTAGATCTGGCGATTTTCGACGTGACCGCGAGTCGGGGGAGAGGGAGCTTTTTATGGCTTTCATTAAATTGTGGAGGTCGTTTGGTCGGATGGGCCCTTAATAAAATGCAAATTTTTTAATCGTAGGTGGTGGTAAATTTTATTTCTTAATTTTGGTGTGACGAGACGTTTACGGGGTTTTATTGTGGTGGTGTATTATTTTGGTGGTATTTTTTTTTAGATGTCCCTGTCGCTTAAGATCTACATTGTCGAAAATAGTGTTACGAAGACCATCGTGTTTGACCCTTCGACCACGGTCTATGATGCCTGCAGGATTATCCGGGATAAGTGCACGGAGGAAAATCTGGGAAATCGTAAGTGTTTTTCTTTTTCTTCTCTGGCGGAGGAAGGATAGCATGAAACTATTCAATTATTCGGTTTTCCGACAAAGCGGTCTGTTCGAGCCACAGTGGCGCCGGAACTTTTATCCAACGGTTATGGCAAAATTATTCCGAAACGATTTTAGATACATAATAGATATAATAGTTTCGAAATGTTACAAACACGGGTAAATATTTCGAAAAATTTATCACTGTTACTTGAAATTTTCAAAAATATAACATCCGTGATAGGTCTGCAGTAGTTTTTCAAAAATTCCGAAATCGTTTTTTGATATACAAAATTAACATAATTTTTGGAAATCGGCGGTGTTGTTAGTTATCAAAAATCTACCAATTTCTGAGTTTACGTTGTCAAAAATTTCTTCTTTACAACATTATTTTAGATCATAATCTATAACTTTACCACTGATCGACTTAAAATTTTCAATAATGAAAAAACCTCGCATGTTGAAAATTTTTGTATAAGTAACAAAGACAGATTTCTTTGGCAGAAATCTAAAAACATTACAGTAAACCCTCGTTAACACGAACCCGTCGGGACCATGATCTTGACCAATTCGTGTTAACCGAATTCGCCATAACCGAAAATCACTTTTTGACATTTAAATAAAAAATATAACAAAAACAAATGTATGTATAAAAACAACTTATTTAAGCTGAGTTTTCTTTGTAATAGATTTCTAACAATATATAACCAAATTTTGAGCATTAGTACTAGTACTACATACATATAAAATTTCATGGAGCAATTTTCCTAAACAACTTTGTGAAAAAATTTGACGCATTGATCCCAACACTAATTTTTTTTATTTGAGATCGGGTTTTCAGAATGGTCGATTATGTAGATTTTGGAATGGTGAACTTTTTAGCTACTGCAGTTTGCATTTTCGTTTTAATATTAATGAATTTTTGGCCTCCTTTTGGTTTTTGATTTGCCATCTTGGACGTTAGCACATTGAACAATAAGAACGAACTGATTACAACTCGGTAAACCACACAGACATATTTTTGCGTTGTGCTTACTAGATACCCATTAAGATAAAGTAAATCGTATTTGAGCACGATGCAAGGAGTTTGCACTTTTTGTTCGCGTTAACCGAGTGATTTTATATGAGAATTATAACTTGGGACCGAAAAAGTTGTTCGAGTTTCGTATTAACCGAATTTCGTGTAAACCGAATTAAGTTGCATTCATTTTATAAGTGGACTGTTTGGGACTTCGATTCCAGTTCGTAATAAAGAGGTGTTTGTCTTATCCGAGTTCGAAGTAACGAGGGTTTACTGTAATACAAAATAAAGTTACATGTTAGAATCAGTAGTATTTGGTTATATTACAGTTGCGCATATTTTATAAAATTTATTAATTTGTTTGAGACACCCCGTAGAAGCAAATCTAAAAAATATTAATGCAGTGATAAATCACCAATCATAATTTTGGATTGATTTTTTTATTTTACAATTTTATTTTGAAAATGAATACCTCTATAATCATTGTCCGGGACCATCAGCAAAGTATCTTTTTTTAATTAACTTGTCCAGATAGATATTCCAGAATTTTTGGTGGAGTTTCAGGCAAGTTTTCCAAAAGCTGGATTTTTCAATATGTGATTTTATGGAATATTTAAATTTTTTCGAGCAGCGTAAAATTATCTAAAAGGAGTTTTTACAACTGTCGAGCTCCAAAATTTCTTGTAAAATTTTTCAAAAATCGCCAAAATTTAATATTGTAATTTTTAAATTTTTTTAAAAACTTGACTTTGAAAAGGAATGGTTTAAGATTTTCATCCGAGAACGTCAAGACGATGTTTTTCGAATTATCGTGTCAAAAGGTGCGTTCCACAATTTCGACTTAATTTTTAGGCAACTTCCAAAACCTCAATTTTTTAAAATCAAATTTTATAAAAAGTTTGTGTTTCTTCGAGCACCGTCGAATATTATCTAAAAAGATTTTTTACAGATTTCGATCTCTGGATTTTATTTTTGGTTTCATTTCTAAGAAAGTTCGTACCACTGTTCGGGAATTGCCAAATGAAATATAGTAATTTTTTAATGTTTTATAAGTATGAACTTAAAAACTAATATCTCGAATTACCTCGTCGAGATCTATATTCCAGAATTTTTGGTGGGTTTTTATGAAATTTTTTCAAAATTTTTCAAATGAAGATTATTAAATTTTTGACGTTTTTCAATTTTTAGAAATATTAAAAAAAAATTTTCGGAAATGAATATCTCCATAATCGCTGTCCAGAACCATCAAAAAGCTTAATTTGTCTAGCTCTATACTCCAGAATTTTTGGTGGATTTTTTGGCAACTTTTTCAAAAGCCCAGTTTTTCAATGAGATTTTTTGGACTTGTTTCAAGCAGTGTCGAAAATTATCTAACAGGAATTTTTGCAGATGTCGAGCTCCAAGATTTACATTCGGTTTCATTTCTTCGAAAATATCCAATACTTTTCACGAATCGCCAAAATTAAATATTTTAATTTTTAGTTTTTGGAAAATTTGACTCTGAAAAACGAATACTCCACGATCTTCATCCAAAACTGCCAACAAGCTATGTTTTTCGATTTATCTTGTCAAAATCTACGTTCCACAGATTTTAATGCATTTTTAGGCAACTTTTCTAAAAGGTCAATTTTTGAAAAATTTGAAACAATCGTGAGGTTCTAGGTATTCCTGTTTGGAAAAAATTTGAATCTGCTTTGGAGCCTCTAGTGTGTTTTCTTATAATAATTTAATTAAATTTCTTCGAGCATACGTCACTTGCTAAAATCAATTTTATCTAAATCGAACTAAAATAAAATTTTCATCTCAAAGGAAATAAAATAAGCCAATGAAATTCAAAAACGTAGCTGGGTGGAGTTAATTTTACCTTTTTATCTAGATTCCACTAATCATCAATAGAAAATACACTTTGTCCAATAAAATTAGTGATCAGAAAGAAAACCGGGTGGGTGGGCGGGGCTACTTTGACAAAATAAAACTCAATGATCTAATCTAAAAAAGCAGTGAAATTCAAAAGCAGAGGTGAGTGGGGTTAGTTTTACTTTTTGTCTACATTTCACTGTGTTAATGTGGGTGTGGGTGGGAGATTCCACTTTGAATTTGTTTAAGCGTGGATTGGACCGCTTCAATTTTCACGTTCTTCTATTGAGTGGGAGTGGAAAAAGTATGTGTAAAAAGTAAAAACAAAACGCCATTCGTAATTTTTTCGTTATACTATTTGTTATAAAATTTATTTCTTATTTCATGCACCTGACCGAACTTGTGTGACCTGACCTGTTCTGACTTTTCTATTGTCTCAAATAAACAAATTGCAAACATTTCTGTGAATATATAAAAACCACAAAATACATTCATAAAATAATTGTATTTTGTGAAACAAAAATTAATAATGGTTTCCTTTTTTTCTACAAAATTTTTATACTGAGCGACTTTGACGGAATGTAAAAATTGTTATATTTGAATTGGCGATTTTGGAAAAATGATAGGAATTTCCGCAGAAATGAAGCTGAAAATGACTTCTGGACATCGGAATCTACAAAAAAATGTCTAATTTTCGAAAATATGTAGTCGAAAAATGGTCGAAAATGTCAAAGTGCCAAAATCAGTTTGATCTTATCAAATACTAGTCCCGCCCACCCACCCTCTATTTTCTTGGAGGGTATGTGATTTACCAAAATCAGACTTACCTTAGCAAGTACGAGCCCTCCCACCTCTTCTCATTCTAACGACTAATTTTATTCGTGTTCAGTAAAACTATCAGGTCGGATAAAATCAATCACTGAAACCGAGACAGGGTGGGTGGGCGGGGCTAATTATGTTCTTCTATTCAGTGGGAGTGGACAATTTTCGAAAATAGTTGTAAAATGCTCGAAAATGTTAAAAGTGCCTAAATCAGTTTTATCTTATCAAGTACTATTTTACTATTGTTTGTCAATATAAAATCCACTTTTCGTGTAACAGCCAATAAAATGAGTGACTAAGTTCATTGGTTCTTAATTAATTTTTCGAAAATATTGCTCCGTGTCCGTCAACACGCTATATTTTTGGAATCAGCACGTCGAGGTCCTGTATACCAGAATTTATTGCGGATTTTTAGGCCAGTGTTTCAAAAGTAAAATTTTTCCAGTACTTCAAATTTCGGCTCATTTTCTTTCGTTTTCAAAACTCAGCTAAATACCGTTACTTATTGTAAACAACTTCTTTTTTTAATTCAACTTCCTGAAGATTTTTTTGGTTTCAATTCGTCTAAAATTCACGCCATTATTCCTGAATCGCCAAAAAGAAACAGGACAAATTTTAATATACCCTAAAAATCGAACCTCGGTTGCACGTAAAAAACTGATATCGAAATATCTCGAAGATTTCAAAGTATTCGGTTTAACAGGTTCAAAATTAAATTGCGAAATGTTGTTTTCAAATTTGGATTTTTTTTTCCAAAAATCTGGACGTTCAGGGTAAAAACTCAATACGGAGTCCTAAACTACATGTGTAGGACTATGTTACTTTATACAATTTAAATCACATTATTGGTGGGGATCATTAGATGAATTTTTGTTAGCGTTTTACCATCTACATGATATTCCTAGTATAAATACAAAATTTGGCAACAATCCGGACGGACGGACGGACAGACAGACAGACAGACAGACAGACAGACAGACAGACAGACAGACAGACAGACAGACGGAAACGGGAGACCATTCTTGGGGTCATGAAAGGTCGAGAAAACGTAAAAGTTAAAAGAGAAAGAGAAAACTATATCACAAACTTAAATAGTAAGAGTAAAAAAAAAACAGTTATGGTACAATAATTAAATTCACGTGATCAGACTTTTAGCATTCTTTATGCAGCAACAATGTTAGCTTTGAAAATTTGTAAGTTTGCATTGTGCAAATTTAACTTGCATGTATAATTACCACTTTTGAGAACAAATTAAATAATCCCATTTATCTCGACATTCACTCTCTACAAATATTTGAATAGAGGACATTGCAATTATTACCGTTAGGCAAATGAATCATATTACAACCACTACGTCGTATTTTTCGACATTGACCTAAATTTAATATGAAAAGGAAAATTGTTAGTGTGTAAACAATATTTTTCCCAAATTTTTAGAAACAGTACATTTGGTGTAACAAATCATAATGTAGGCTGCTCTTTTTTTTTTTAATACAGGGTTATTCAGCTAAGATGACCCATTTATGTTTTTAAGATAGGCAACCGATCGACATTTTTCTATATACTTATAAGTAAACTTTGATACAATTCAATTTTGAAACATTTTTTGTAATCCAGGCTCAACTGGAATCGGTATTATGGGTTGCATATTTTAAAAACACAAATGGGTCTTCGTAGCTGAATAACCCTGTATATAAAAATTTTGTTTGTTATGTGTTTGTCGTAGCACCGTTTATTGATAAACATTAATTTATTCGAAATTTGCCACATAAGAAACATGGGCTTGGGTTTCTCCTCAGTGCTAACAAAATCTGTAAATCTCTTAGTCGACATTAATCACAATCAGACAAAAAGTTAAACGAATTTTTTTCATTACAATTTAACCTTTTCTTTCAGCCAAAGACTATGGCCTCTTCCTCACCGACGACGACAGCCGGACCGGAGTCTGGCTGGAGCCAGCCCGCCACCTAGAATACTACATTTTGAGAAACGGCGACACCGTCGAATACCGGAAGAAATTGCGAACGCTGAGGGTCAAGATGCTCGACGGTAAGTCCAACCTACCCGTTCGTATTTTTAGCCCGACCACCGAAATCCTCAACAGTTTTCCGATGTGTTCATCACACGCTATTTTCGCGGAGATCCAGATGATGAAGTTACGTCGTTATCCTCTTACGCAAACTCATCCCTGACACGATTCGTTATACCAAATTGCACGTCTGCCTGCATTCATCCTGCTTAAGTCAAATGCAAATAATTGCAATTTATAACTCACATCTTAAATCGTCGCAATTCATCAACGACAAAACTTTGTTTTTATTTTCGGCCGAATTATTCCGCTCGGTTTTGGTTCTTGTTTCGGAATTAATTGAGCGCCGGAAAATTTCTGATGGTTTTATTTGCGTTAATTAAATATGCCCGTTCTACGCGCCGTTTAAAAAGGTCGGGATTGAAATTTAAAAAGCCATTCGAATACGTTTTACGCGAACACTTTTCTTTGATAGCGGTCGTGTTTACGAGGGTTTTCGTTTTGTCGGTGGATGTGTTAGGACGAGTTCACCTCGTAAATGGGAGAATGTGCGCGAGCAGTGGCGTAACGAGGGGCTGATGATAAAATTCGGCTTGAAGGCGATGTGGTAAAGCAATTTTTTCGATGGGCTTGATTGTTTAAATAAATCGTTTTATGTCGGTTTGGATGCGGTGGAACGTTTCGTATAATGGAGTCTCGCCGGTATTGTTTGACGTATTTATGGTGGCTACAATACTGTGAATTGTGGGACATAAAATCGAAATTACGGACAAGACTTCGTCATGTGTGTATGTAGAGAACTGTCTAATAATGATGTTGGTATTGTTTGACGAATAATAGCCCAAGATTGCCTTTATCGAATGTACCTACTGTGTTATTAACATGAAATTGAGCTCGGGGACGTCATAGCTCATAAAACAGGACTCGTAGACCGTCTAAAATAAAGTGGGAATGAAATTGAAGTATTCGTTTTAATTCTTACACTAGTAAGAAACAGGTCTTGCATTTTTCACAGAAAACTCCTATATTTAGAAGAAACTGCATCATCAAATCATGTGAAAACCTAGGAAATATCCTGAAAGACTTCGCATTTAATATTGGGAAAAAATCGATGGGGCTGACTATAAAGAAGGGGTGATCAAAGCAGTGTGGAACGTAACGGCCGAGAGGTTGCAACAGTTTTGTTTTAGAGAGTATAAGGTCGTGTTTGATCCGTTCAAAAACATATTTTTCCAACAAGCGAAAAATGCTTGCAGTATTAAAAGAAAATTATTGCAGTTTCGCTTCTGAACAAACTGTCTCAGTTACAAAATCGAACATGATGCATCTAACTCATACCCGAAAAAATACAAGGTCAAGTTGGCTTTGAAATTTCTTGAGATTTGCCGCCTCGTTGAGATTATTGATGAGCTCTTGCGCCTGTCACAATGGCAGTCATAAACTAACTTTCGTAAATTTTTTCAGTGTGTTAATTTGGTGCCTGATAGGTTGGCAAGCAACATTTTGAATGATTGATTGCTAGCGATTACATGAAAGCGGCAAATTGTTATTAACAGTGCAGTGACAGTTCTTCCAAAGCCAACTTAATGTACGATGTTTTGTAGTTTTCCAAGTTGACAGAACAAATTCGGCCGAAAACTAATGAATTTACCATGTAATTCACTTCTTAAAAATTTACATTATTGTGATGAATTTCACAACATAATCTGAATACGGGTTGTCAGTTTTAGCGATAATTAATTCATCAAAATAATGAAAAACAAACAGTTGAGGCGAAGTCGAGACAAATAACCATCTGAGCGCGAAAAAAATGAACAGAATTTATATAAAATTATGAAGAATCTCATGTTATAACCTTAATTATTACATAATGTCGGACTACAAAACCTTCTTGACATAGCTTCAATCTTGTATTGTAGAAAAATATAATATAATCGTAATAATAACAAATTAGATTCTAAAATTCGAGAACACAATTGTCAATTTTTCTTTTACAATTTTTGTAGAACACACCGAATTTAAAATAAAAGTCGACCCTTCCAGATAACTGGTTATATTGTGTTCACATATTCACTGAAGGTGAATAGAAATGATAATTTGCACGCGACCGTGGAGTTAAAAACACAATCTAAAGTCCGTTCCGGTTTGACTTGGCAGCGTACAAAATCCGTAAGCAATGTGTTTTATATGGAAAAATACGCGGCGGTGTTGTCAGTTATGAAAAATCTGTGTTCTGAAAGTTTTTATCATAAAGTTTTTGTCATTCCTCTTCTATTTGTGTTAAAATTTGACTTTTTTGGTTTTTATCACGTCGTTTCAAAATCTATTCAAAATTTTCTCCCAGTTTTTAATTCTAACTTTTATTGCACAGTTGACTCCAGAAAAAACGAATTTAGAAGAATTTTTTGTACAATTTAAAATATACATGTCTCAATTTGACAAATCTATTAGATATTTGTCAGTATTTTGACACAAAATTTTTCCAGTATCATTATCGTTATAACCTATTTCAAAATAGTTCTGTTTAAACTAGAAAAATTCTCACAGTAATCTGTCATACTAACTTTGACTGTTCCTGTTTTTTCTGGAGCCGACTGTACTAGGTTTTTAAATTTCTACTTAATTTTTTTTTTTGTTATTTGTACAAAAGGCGTATTGAAATTTCCAATATACGAGTTTTTATTTTTAATATTGAAGATTTTATATGTTACATTGTCGCATATTAATTTCAAAATTTTCAGTAATGAGAATACCTCGTATAATGAAAATTTCGAAATGCATTCCGTGTAGGTAACGAAAGATTTTTTCTTCCCGAGCGTAAAGCAAGGAAGTATAGTAATCGAGTCCATCGGAATGGCCACTTTTATATTTTCTCGACGTTTCATGACCCCTAGAGTATGAAAAAAGTAGTCTCCTATTTCCGTCTGTCTGGTGTCTGTAACCATTTTTAGTAGACACGTAATCTCGGAAACTGCTGTTGTTTTTTGTTAATCATCCACACCAAAAATTTGATGGCGTCATTTTAATGAATATATATTTTAAAATGTTTTGAATTTTACAAAAATCTACTCCTGTACTTGTAGTGTACGAATCCACTTTCAGTTTTTTCGCTAAACGTTCAAATTTTCGCAAAAACATCTGCGAGGTATAATAACGTTACATTACCAACACGGCGTAAGTGCTGAAGGACAAGGGGTCTTATTTATGCCTCTGGTTTTTACTTTACAGCGGTTATTACAAAACAAACATCGTAAAATCAAATTTTATAATTTTTTGAAAGACCTGGATTTGTGGTTTTCTATAAAATGTGAAAATACCCACGTTTTCATTTAATTACGATCAAATAAGAATAATAATAATCATATTCAAAACATTTTGTTCCATTACGGCTTAATTAATAATTTTATTCTTCTGTTTTGAGGACGGAAGGGCGAGGGAAGTTCTGTCGAAGTAACCAATTTTTTAAGAATGTGAAATCTTCTCGGAGGTCCAAATGTATCTTTTTTAAAAATGTAAAACCTTCTCAGGGTCTCAAATATCTTTTTTTTTATATAAAACCTTCTCGGGGGCCCCAAATATATTTTTTTAAGAATGTGAAACCTTCTCGGGCGTCCCAACTGTCTTTTGTAAAAAAGTAAAAGCTTCTCGGGGGCGCCAAATATCTTTTTACTTCCCGGCGTAAGCTAAAGAAGTATAGTAATCGAGTCCATTGGACGAATTGCCACTTTTATATTTTCTTGACGTTTCATACCCCTTCAGTACGAAAAAAGTAGTCTCCCATTTCCGACTGCCTGTCTGTCTGTCGGTATCCATTTTTATTAATCTCCGAAACTGCTGGACCGATTGTTGCCAAATTTTGTATGTATGTTTGAAATGTCATGTAGATGGTTAAATGCTAGACAAAATTTGGCTAATCATCCCCATCAACAATTTGATGACGTCATCTCAATGAACCGTATTTTAAAATGAGTTGAATGTTATACAAAAATATACCCCTATACTTGCAATATACGAATCCGCTTTCTGTTTTTCCGCTTAATGTGCAAATTTTCCCAAAAACAATTGCACGGTATAATAACGAAAAATCCATCACAATTGAGTTCAGGGAGGGTGGGTGGGGCTTAATCTTTTTTTTTAATGTATAGAATTTTCTTTCAACAAAAGGATAGTTGAACATATTTTCAGTTTCTTGTTGCGAAAAAAAGACATCGTATATTGAGAAAAAAATGGACAAAATATAAGCCCCGCCCACCCGCCCTGTCTCAATTGTGATGAATATTTTATTCATGATGAGCTGAAGGGCGGAGTTTAGTTGCAAAATCCTCCCTTCTCTACAAGAAATTACCATATGAAATGTGTTTTTAAAAGGGTAGAATTTTTTAGAGAAATATTGATGTTACAATTAAACTCCCCCCTTCGATCTGATTAGGAAGGAAAGACTCATCACAATTGAGCTCGGGGCGAGTGGGTGGGGCTTAATTTTTCTTTCTTTCTTTTTTTTTAATATATAGACTTTTCTTTCAACAACAGGTTAGTTAAACATGTTTTCAGTTTCTTGTTGGGTAAAGAAGACTTCATATTTTAAGAAAAAATGGCCAAACTATAATTTCTTGTAAAGAAATAGAAATAATTATTTTGCAGTTAAGCTCCGCCCCTTGGTTCACGGCGAATAAAAAAAATCATCACAATTGAGATCGGGCGGGTGGGCGGGGTTTCATTTTGCCTTTTTGTTTTAATATGTGTAGACTTCTTTTCACAACAAGAAACTCCAAACATGTCTAAAATGGAAAATTTGTATAAGAAAATGTCGATTCTTTGCAAAAAAGTACTATTTTAACCATGTTTTAAGTTTATTGTTGTGGAAAGATGGCTGATGTATATTAAGAAAAAATGGACAAAATATAAGCCCCGCCCACCCACCCCTTCTCAATTGTGATGAATATTTCAATAATAATAATAATAATTTTTATTTAACCAATTTTAAAGAAATAAAGAAAAACATTGGTACAAAACGTACAGATACAGCAAGAACTGATATTCATCTGACCTGACATTATTATCTAACTTGACATTAGTATTAAAAAGAATATTAAATTATTAATGAGTGAAAACAGACCTAAATTTATATTTGGTATTTCTCCATCCAGCAGTCGTTGTTTTAACAGTTTCTTCGAAGTTTGGGTAAAAATGAGGCTCATTTCTGCGCCAATTTATTTTTATTTATTTATTCATCGTGAGCTGAAGAACAGAGTTTAGTTGGAAAATCTTCATTCCTCTACAAGAAATTACCATATGAAATAATATGTTTTTAAAAGAGTAGATTTTTTTAGAGAAATATTGATGTTACAATAATTAAATTCCGCCCTTCTGTCTAATTAGAAATGAAGAACTCATCACAATTGAAATCGGGGCGGGAGGGTGGGGCTTAAGTTTTGTTTTTGTTTTTTTTTTTTTAATATATAGAATTTTCTTTCAACACAGAATAGTTAAACATATTTTCAGTTTCTTGTTGGAAAATGAAGACTTCGTATATTATTAAGAAAAAATGGACAAAATATAACCCCGCCCGCCCACCCGTTTTCAGTTGTGATGAATGCTTTATTCATCGTGAGCTGAAGGGGGGAAATTATTTCCAAACTCCTCATTTCTCTACATTAAATTACCATATGAAATATGTTTTTAAAAGGGTCAATTTATGTTTTTTTGTGTTTATTTTTTTAATATAGAATTGTTTTTGAACAACAGGACAGTTAAACATATTTTCAGTTTGTTGTTAGGAAAAGAAGACTTCGTATATTAAGAAAAAATGGACAAAATATAACCCCGCCCACCCACCCGTTTTCAATTGTGATGAATGCTTTATTCATCGTGAGCTGAAGGGCGGAAATGATTTCCAAAATCCTCATTTCTCTACAATAAAGTACGATATGAAATATGTTTTTAAAAGGGTCAATTTCTGGTTTTTTTTGTTGTTTTTTTTTTTTTTAATATAGAATTGTCTTTCAACAACAGGACAGTTAAACATATTTTCAGTTTCTTGTTGGGAAAAGAAGACTTCCTATATTAAGAAAAAATTAACAAACTATAAGCCCCGCCCACCCACCCGTTTTCAATTGTGATGAATGCTTTATTCATCGTGAGCTGAAGGGCGGAGTTTAGTTGCTAAATTCTCGTTTCTTTACAAGAAATTACTATATGAAATATGTTTTTAAAAGGCTAGAATTTTCTAGGGAAATAATATGTTACAATTAAACTCCGCCCCTCGTCTGATTAGGAATGAAAAACTCATCACAATTGTGATCGGGGCGGGTGTGTGGGGCTTAATCTTTTTTTTTTTTTAATTCTTTATATACGTAGTTTTCTTTCAACAATTTTTTGCCGCAAAGAACAAGAGATATTATAATAAAAAACATCAAGTCAAATATTCAATAATTTTGGACTGTACTCCTAATGTAAGTCACGTAGAATAACTTTTATATATATTTTTTCTCGAAAAACTGAAGAAATGAAAAACTGAAAAATCTAAAAATTGAAAACTCGCGAAATTTCAAATCGAAAAACTGCGAAATCTGTTTCCCAACTTTTGGATTGAAACGTCTAAAAGTTGGAAAATCGGAAAACTGGAAAATTTAAAAATGAAAACTCGAAGAGATCGTAAAATTAAAGAAAAAACAAACGAAAAATAAAAAAAAAGTGGAATTGAAAAAACAAAAAATTCTAAAATTGAAACATTGAAAAATTGTAAAAATAAATAAAATAAAAAACTGAAACTAAAAATTGCAAATGGAAAAATTAAAAATTCAAAACTCGAGAAAGTCAAATCGAAAAATTGCAAGATCTGGAAATGGAATTGAAAAATTGAAAAATTACATTTAAACATCAAAACTCGAAAAAATGAAGGAACAAAAAAAAAGACAAATTGAAAAAAATTATAACATATATACAAATAAGCTGCGGGAACGTGATTTACCCCATTGGTTTATACTTTATAGAGATGAACAGAAAACAAAAATCGCAAAAAAAAAAGATGATTTTTCAGAGAAGTGGGATTTTTTTGGCTGCACTTCAGGGGCGAGGGAAGTTCTGTTTAAATAACCTATATAAGAATAAAAATTTTTAAGAATATTAAATCTTCTCGGGGCTCCCAACTGTCTTTTTTGAGAAGGTGAAATCTTTTTTTATTACACTGTGACCACTACTTTCTATATTGTTTTTACTCCATAGAGGTTATCACGAAAAAATAAAATTCCGCAAAATCAAATTTTATAATTTTTCAGAGAAGCATTTTTCATTGGAAGAAGCGAGGGAAGTTCTGTCGAAATAACTTGCGAACAATTATTTTAAAGAAATGTAAAGACACGATATAATCACTAGAGAGCGGATTTCTGTCGGGCTAGACAAGGCCAAACTCGGTACGGCTCGTACGGGATGGGAATTTATTGCAGTTACCGGCTGCACTTCGTTTATTTGAGATTAGAATAACGCTGCTTCGTTGCACTCTGCTGTTAATTCCAGTTCTCATTTACTTAGCCGTTTGATTAATAAATCGTTATTTGTATTTATGGAATCAAGTGAGAATTAAATTCAGTGATTACCTATCACCCGCTACTGAGTCCCGGCGATGCAGCGCGTCCCCACCTATATCGTGACGTAGCCCGACAGAAATCCGCTGTCTAATAATCACAGAACACATTGCTACAGTCAGTACTATTATTATTATTAACGTAATAAGTAAATCTGAGGCAAAAGAATATTCTAAAATATGATGCGATAAATAGCAGAAAAATGAAATTTTTGAAACACGAAAATTAAAAAAAAATCAACTTAAACAACTAAATTAAAAAAAATTAAAATCACATTTTAACACATAGATGCCGAATGATAAGAGATTAAAAATATTTTAGAACTTTGCAGATCCACTCTAAAATCTTCAATAATAAAAACAACTCCTATTCTCCCACAGTAACAAAAAAATGAAGCAAGCATTTACCCGAAAAAGTATGAAAACTATTTTATTTAGGTGGTGGAGTTCATCATAGTCCCATTTCGCGACCTCCCCACCAAGAATAACCCACAACTCGTAAAATACGTACAACCACTCAATCTTTCCACAGAAACCAATTTAAACCCACCGTCTAGAGAATCCAGCGGCGCATTTTTAATTCCATCGACCCCACCCTCCGCCACGCCACTGACCAACCACCTCGTTCTCTTCATCGTTATCGCTTTTTCTCTCTCCGCTTCAGGCGGCGCTGTAAAAAATTCGCCATTAATATAATTTTATGGACCGTTCCACAGTCTTGATGCGACATTATTTTTTTAAAGGTTCGGTGAAGACGATGTTAGTCGACGATTCCCAGATCGTCGCCAATCTGATGGTGGTAATTTGCACGAAGCTCGGCATAACCAATCACGACGAATACTCGCTCGTCCTCGAGGACCTGGAGAACCAGGAGAACATCGACAACCGAAACTACGGCACGCTGACGCTGAAGCGGCGCCGGGAGGAGAAGGAGAGGGACGCCAAGATGGACCAGCTGCGAAAAAAGCTCCACACGGACGACGACGTCAACTGGCTGGATCCGTCGAAAACGCTGCGGGAGCAGGCAATCGACGAGAACGAGACGGTGCTGCTCAGGAGGAAGTTTTTCTTCTCGGATCAGAACATCGATTCGCACGACCCCGTACAGCTCAATTTGCTGTACGTCCAGGCGAGGGACGCCATCATCAACGGCACTCATCCAATTACTCAAGAGAAGGCGTGCGAATTCGCAGGAATACAGTGTCAGATCCAATTTGGGGATCACGTGGAGACTAAACACAAACCGGGATTCTTAGAGTAAGTTTGTTTAGAGGGAGGAAATTATGTTAATGGCGGAGATGAGCGAACTTTACGCCGGAAAGATGACGAAAATTCGGGTTGTTTTAGCGCACGAATTTAATGGGAGGTGTGCGCGGGACGGATGCAAGATGTTAAAAGACGAGTACAATGAAATGTCAGTCAAAAACACATTTAGGGTTTTTTCGTATGCAGAAAGAATAAAAAATCTAGCGTAAGCAGACACTGGATATAATCCTGAAATGATTTTTTGTTTGTTGGTGATCTAAATCTCAAATAGGCAGAATTTGTCTCTTAAGCGAGTTTTTTTGGTTTGATAGTCAATATTGTTGAAATAGTTGAAATTGAATAGGGATTTTTAATTTACTCGAGGCAACTCGTTTGCGTTCGGTATAGACCCGAAAAGATTTTCCCCGGCGATGTGATGGTACGGATAGTGATTTTAGGATTTGGCAAACGTAAATCCAAGTGAGTTACGACTACTAAATAAAACGCTCCCGGAATAATTTGTGATTTTTGTTTCCACTTTGACTTTATTTGTCTGATGTCAGTAAAGATCGTTTTTTCATTTTATCAGGTTGTTGTCAATGATTGAAACTAGCAGCTGTTGGTCGTAAAACATCCACAGTTATGTTCATTAATTAATCACTCGTTGGGTTGTCCCATCTTCTTGTTTATTTCTGTTTTTACTGTTGAATTGAAGGCAGTGTTGTTGTATTACTCATCACGAAAAACAGTCATTCCAGATAGATAAAAAAAATTTAATGACATCTCAAATTCGTGTCACAAGATCGGAAGCAAGTATGACCACAAGAATTACTCGAGTCATTTTTTATTTCCTGAGCATAAGCTAAATAAGTACAGTAATCGAGTCCATCGGGCGACTTGCCACTTTCTGTTTTAACGACGTTTCATGACGTCTAGAGAACGAAAAAAGTGGTCTCCCGTCTAATTTTGATCAGACACAATCTCCGAAATTACTGTTGTCAAATTCTGTACGAATGTTAAGAATATCATGTTTTTTTTTTATTTTATAAGATTCTCTTTCATTTGTGATCTATGAATCCGTGTTCAATTTTCACCCTAGACATCCAGATTTTTGGAAAAAATATCAGAATTGTATAACATTTTGCAATTTAACTTTGAAACTGCAAAACCGAATGCTCTAAAATCTTGTAAACGTAAAAAAGTTATCGTAATCATGGTAAATCGTTAATTAAAATTTATTCGTTTATATCCTCCCAAAATTGGTGATGGCATCTCAAAATTTTGACTAATAAATCCTCTCTGAAATATGCAAAATATTATGACTCTATATTTGTGGTTTATGAATTTACTCATAGTTTTTAGAACTACATACAGGTGACTCAAAAATCTTTAATGAATCAGGCAGTTTTTTTTCTAAATTAAGCCAAGAATGACTCACTCCATTTAATAATAGTAATAATTTATTTATTATGTCATTGCCAAAGAAAAACAAAAGTACATATGTCACAAAATTATACATTTAATACAGACGCAGACGATATACTATTTTAAAAATTCACTAACTGCGTAACAATTTTTCGTTTTCTTTCATTTTTCAATGTTTTGGTTCCATAATTCAATGTTTCAATAACTCCTAATTCATAATTTTTTGTTCTCCCAACTTTAATTTTTTCAATTTTTTAGTTTCTCGACTTTATTATTCAGCATTACAATTTGTCATTTTTCGATTTTTAAGTTTCTCAGTTTTCATTGTTTCGATTTTTCAGTTTTTTATTTCCTCAATTTGTTAAGTTCCTAGTTTTTGTTTTACAGTTTCCCAATTTTTTAATTTTTGTTGCCTTTATTTTTCGAGCGTTTCCTTCGATTTTATCATTTTTTTCAATTCCTCGATTTTCCAGTTTTAAAATTTTTCAATTTTTAATTTTTCAGTTTTTCGTTTCTTCAGTTTTTCAATATCATTATTTTGACATACAAGGGTTATCATAAAAAATAAATTTTGCAAAATCAAGTCTTAAGATTTCGAATAACAATAAGAATTATGTTAAAAATCTACTAACTGTGCAACAATTTTGCTTTAAAAGGAAATTTTTTTTATTTTTAATTTAAATATGAAAAATTAGGTGCATTTTTTTATGAAAAATTTGAATTTATTTATCTTTGACCAATTTTTGATATCATAATTTTATATCATTTTGTTTCATTTTTCAATGTTTCTGTTTCATAATTCAATGTTTCAACAATTGTTTCGTTTTCATAATTTTTCGTTTCTTCAGTTTTTCAGTTTCGTAGTTTTTCGACCTTACAATATGTCATTCTTCGATTTTTAAGTTTCTCAATTTTCGTTGTTTTGATTTTTCAGTTTTTTGTTTGTTTTTAAGTTCCTGATTTTTGTTTTTCGTTTTCCCGATTTTTTTTCTTTCGATTTTATAATTTTTATCAATTTTGCAATTTTTGGATTCCCAATTATCCAATTTTCCGTTTTCTTTAATTTTCAATATTTTGATTTTACAATATTTCGCTTTTTCGATTTTTCATTTTCTCAATTTTTAATCTTTCGATTTTTCAATTTTTCGTTTCTTCAATTTTCAGTATCTTTATTTTGACTTACAAGGGATATCATAAAAAATAAATTTTGCAAAATCAAGTCTTAAGTTTTCGAATAGTAATAATAATTTATTTACTGGTCAAAGAAAAAAAAGTACATATGTCACAAAGTTATACATTTAATACAGAGTCTTATTTATACAGTGCATTTTTTTATATCACAGTCTGGAATGTTAAAAAATTTGCAACAATTAAAATACGAAAATGTGAAAATGATAAATCTGAGTTTATATACCTTTGACCAATTTTTTTGATATCAAAATTTTTCGTCTTTCCAATACTTTCCATTTTCTCTTCACTTTTCAGTTTTTCATTTTTCAATGTTTCGGTTTTATAATTCAATGTTTCAACAAGTCAGTGTTTTGTTTTTATAATTTTTTCTTTTCCCAACTTTAATTTTTTCCATTTTTCACTTTCTCCACCAAATTTTTCAGTTTTTCGTCTCTTCAATTTGTCAGTTTTGCAATTTTTTGACATTACAATATGTCATTCTTCGATTTTTAAGTTTCTCCATTTTCATTGTTTCTATTTTTCAGGTTTTCGTTTCCCCAATTTTTTAAATTCCTAATTTTTGTTTTTCATTTTCCCGATTTTTTAATTTATAATTCTTTTATTTTTCGGACGTTTCTTTCGATTTTAGAATTTTTTTCAATTTTGCAATTTTTGGATTTCTAATTATCCGATTTTCCGATTTCTTTAATTTTTAATATGTTGATTTTACAATATTTCGCTTTTTCGGTTTTTCATTTTCTCAATTTTTCAATCTTTATTTTGACTTTCAAGGGTTATCATAAAAAATAAATTTTGCAAAATCAAGTTTTAAGTTTTCGAATAATACTAATTGGTCAAACAAAAAAAAATAAATAAAAGTACATATGTCACAAAATTATACATTTAATACAGACGCAGCCGATATACTATGTTAAAAATTATTTTTTTGTAGTAGGAATTTTTTTATTTTTGATTTAAATATGTAAAAATTGGGTGCATTTTTTATATCAGAGTCTGGATTTTAAAAAATTTGCAAAAATTAAAATACGAAAATGTCAAAATGAGAAATCTAGGTTTATTTAACTTTGACCATTTTCTTTCATTTTTCAATTTTTCCATTTTTCAATGTTTCGGTTTTATAATTCAATGTTTCCACAATTATGTGTTTTGTTTTTTCAATTTTTCAATTTCTCCACTTTCAAAATTTTCAGTTTTTCGTGTCTTCAGTTTTTCAGTTTTGCAATTTTTCAACATTACAATTTATCATTTTTCCAGTTTGGAGTTTCTAAATATTCAGTTTTTCGTTGCCTCAGTTTCCCAAATTCTTGATTTTTATTTTTCATTTCCCCGATTTTTAAATTTGTATTTGCTCGATTTGATAATTTTTTAATTTTTGATTTTTCAATTCCTCGAGTTTCCATTTTGCAATTTTTGGATTTCCAATGATCCAGTTTTCCGATTTCTTTAATTTTCAATATTTCGATTTTATAATTTTTCGTTTTTCGATTTTGCCTTTTTCGATTTTAAGTTACTCAATGTTTAATCTTTCGATTTTTTAAATATCTGTACTTTGACTTACAAAAGTTATCACAAAAATAAATTTCGCAAAATCAAGTCTCAAGTTTTCGAATAATAATAATAATAATAATTTGTTTACTATGTAATTGTCAAAGAAAAACCATAAAAGTCCATATGTCACAAAATTATACATTTAAACAGACGCAGCTGATACATACCTTGTTAAAAATTCACTAATTGCGTAACAATTTTTCTCGAATAGAAATTTTTTTATTTTTGATTTAAATATGAAATATTAGGTGCATTTTTTATATCACCGTCTGAAATATTAAAAAATTTGGAACAATTAAAAGGCGAAAATGTGAAAATGAAAAATCTGGATTTATTTACCTCTTTGATCAATTTTTTGATGTAAAAATTTTTTGTTTTTCCATTTTCTTTAATTTATCAATTTTTCAATGTTTCAATAATTCAGTGTTTCGTTTTCATAATTTTTTGTTCTCCCAACTTTATTTTTTTTAATTTCTCGACTTCCAAGTTTTTATTTTCCGTTTCTTCAATTTTTCGACATTTAAATCTGTCATTTTTTGCTTTTTAAAGTTTCTCAGTTTTCATTGTTTCGATTTTTCAGTTTTTCGTTTCCTCAATTTTTTAAGTTCTTGATTTTTATTTTTCATTTTCCCGATTTTTAATTTTCATTAGCTCGATTTTATATTACAAGTTTCGCAATTTTTGAATTTCCATTTATCCGATTTCTTTAATTTTCAATATTTCGATTTTGCCCTTTTTCGATTTTTAAGTTTCTCAATTTTTAATCTTTCAGTTTTTCAATATTTCTATTTTGACTTACAAGGGTTATAAAAAATAAATTTCGCAAAATTTAGTTTTACCATTTTTCGAAAAAGCTAGAGGGAAGTTCTGTCGAAATAACCTTCGACTAATTTTTACTTACTCGAAAATTTTGTTATGTGACGTAATATATATTTTCACTTTATTTGCAAAACTAATTTTTTCATAACATAATATTTATCAGACATGACTTACAATGAGCTAAATCAATCAATAAAGCAATCGATTCGATAAAAAATTATCTTAATATTGTTATAAATTTAGCCCCACTTAAATTTACTACACTCGTTTGATTGGTATAGGGCTTTATTAACAGTTTTATCCATAAATAAACGATAATCTTAACAGTCATAAATTTGTGTTCATGGTAATTAGATGAACTCATTAAAAAAAATTAGGTTACTACTAAATATGTGCCAAACTGATTTGAAATGTAATATTTTCAAGGATGAAATTAATATAATGTTAATGCGTCTCAGTTGGAGGAAGTGCAACTTTTAATCCGAGTCTGCATTAACAAATTGACAAAGTTTAAAAAATTTAATCACATCTATTAAAATATTTGTAAAAAAAATCCCAGAGAGATTAAACGTTTCGATCGTAACAAAGAAATTTTGTCTGATGATAAAAAATGTAATTTCTAAATGATACATAAAAAATGTAATTTCTATTTTAACTACTAAAGTCAAGTTCAACGCACCTTCCAAGCGACTTGGCACAATACTTAGTTGGTATTATAAAATTAGTTTAAGTAAATTATTGTTTGATTGAAAAGTTTTGGCATGCAGATCAAATATTTAACTTTAATTTGTATATAGAAATCGTTGTGGTTATCTTAAATGGAACGGATACAAAGAACAGTCATGATTTATAGTAACAATGAGTGTTTTATCATACGGTGTTATGATGGTTGATATTTTTGTTTTTTCTGCTAAATTAATTTTTGACAACAACTATATCTTATACTATTAAACGAGCAAAGTTTGTATATATATATATAAATATATATCTATATATATAATGGGTTTCTCGAAAACGGCTCTAACGATTTCGATGAAATTTACAGGTTGGGGGTTTTTTGGGTCAAGAAATCGATTCATCATAGTTTTAACTTCTGAAAATTACAGCTTCATACATTTTCAGCAATTTTCAGGCAGTGAATTATATTCGTTGCTAGGTAACATCGGATGACACTACACGAACACGAGATTGTTTTATAAGAGAAGTTTGGGTGACAGTCTGACAGTACGTTTGACGTACCTTTTTATCTTCAATTGTACGTACCGAAACATACTCCACTGTATAGAGGACGTTAAAATTCACCCTCTGAGGTGACAAAATTTACGGAAAACTAAACAGTGAGCGGATAAAAGGCACACGAAAGTGCGTTGAGTTAAGGTTATGTTGTCAAGCATTCATTTCAGAGGTTCGACGGTCAGGGTCAATATGTGATCGTTTTCCGGGATGGGACCGTATTATTTCAGTTTTTGGGCTCAACTTTTCGCACACTTTCGTAAGTGGCATCTTCGGGAGCAGGGTTGAGATTGAGAAATTAGGAATAACGCAAAAGAGCACGGTAACTCAGTATGTTAATCACACCAGAGGCGAAACCATTCTGGCAGTAAGAAAGTGGTTGTGACCTTTTTCTAGAGTCGAGAGAGAGAACTAGGAAAAAAAGAGAACGACAGAGAGAGAACTTGGGTAACAAATGAGATTTTAATAAAAATGTCAAGCAATAATTCCAGTTTTCCATTCTTTAATCTCTACATGTCACTCATCACTATTTAAAACAAAGACTGCTTATGGAATTTCTTTTTTAATGTGTATTTTTAACTAGCGCGTGTACTTCAAAATGCATACTATACGCATATTTATCTGTCCTAATCTGATCTAATACTACCAAACGAGCCGAGTGAAGCTCGGTCAACCAGATATTATTAATAATAAAGTGAGTATAATTTTAATTGGACCTTAATTCAGTTTGAAGGAATTCCTCCCACAATCCTACATCCGAGTAAAAGGAATCGAGAAGAAAATCTTCGCGGAACACAAAAAGCACTTCGGCAAGAACGAACTGGAAGCCAAAGTGACTTACACGAAAAACGCTAGAGCTTTAAAAACATACGGAGTCACTTTCTTCCTAGTGAAAGAAAAAATGAAAGGTAAAAACAAATTAGTACCGCGACTACTCGGAGTCACTAAAGATTCGGTACTCCGCTTGGACGAAAAAACGAAAGAAATATTGCAAACTTGGCCTTTAACGACGGTGAGAAGATGGGGTGCAAGCCCCAACACGTTCACTCTAGATTTCGGGGATTACTCCGACCAGTACTACTCAGTACAAACCACCGAAGCCGAACAAATCCAACAAATCATCGCTGGATACATCGACATCATTTTGAAAAAAGTGAGTTTGAGGTTTAGTAGTCGCGTGAGTATAATTTGGTGTTTCAGAAACAAGCGAAAGATCATTATGGCATCGAGGGTGACGAAGGGTCGACGATGTTTGAAGAAAGCGTCGCTCCTCATAAGTACGTTTTAGTAAAAATGAGTGTGTGTGTAAGTAATGGGAATTGTTTTAGAGCCACAATCCTCCAACACGAGTTGAGCAAAGTGGGCAAACTCAACACCGAATCTTTGGCCAAACCGGCCGTCATGCGGGCCGGATCCGACGGTAAGTACCTCAAGTTCTCAATTTTTCGATTTTTGTTTTATTTTCTTTTCGTTTCGTTGGTTAGGTGAGAAAACATTTAGTACTGGCATGATGGGTAGTGCTCAACACACTATTGTAAGTGGACAAGTGAGCGTGGGTCATGCACCTCCTACGGTAAGAGCGCGTTACTTGCACACTTATTACATTGTCTATTACTAACCGTGTAAATGCTTTGGAATGCTAGGAAATGGGCTTTGGGTAACGATTTTGATTAAACTTGTTGTTTCATGCTGATCTCTGGGACTAGAAGGCAGAGTAGGTACATAGAACTTTGTACATAAAATGTATCGTTTGTGCACCACTTCGCTTCTACGAGTTTCACATTAGTCTGAGATCTAATAAGACTTGCTTGAATTATTGCTTTGTCGGTGTTGCTTTCACATTGGTTTGCTCTGGGGGACGTGGAGGCGACATGCAACTTTCACCTTTAGGATTTAGTTGTCCGGTGGAAAGTGTATAAGGTATTGCCTAGCCATTTTTCTGTTATTGGTAAATCCATTTTTATTTATTTTCTCCTTAACATTTCCCTGTGATCATGTTATTCCAACAACTGGAGTTATAATTTAAAAATTAAATCAGGGCAACACATACCTAATGACTAACATTTCAAAAATTATGTTAAGGGCACTCGCTAGACGAGGTATAACATTTTTTTGGTTTTTTGTATGAAAAAAATGATATTAATATAGATGTGTCATACATCAAACTGCAGCTTTTTTCATATTCTAGGGCGCAGAGACCAGTTCAATCAACTAAAAAAATATGGCTGAGAAATATCGTAAAAAAGCACCATTTTATGTTTTCTTTTCAAGTTTTTTGAGTCATAACCATCATAAAATCGCTTGAAAATTCGCACATGGATAAAACATCACTTTTTACAGGGCGCAGAATCATTAAATGTTTGTTAGTGGTACAATTTGTTTAAATAATAATGTGTTTATTAAAATCAAAATATACCGCAAATTAATGCAAAATGCGTCGAATAATTTTAACAGGAATATCAGAGGAAAATTAATGATCTATTGGTTAGCAGAGTTTTTAACCAAAACTAACAGTTATTGAAAAAAAATGGGTATCAATTCGACAGAATTTGAGCAGTTAGTTCAGTACTTTGCCGATAGGAGCGCCACTAAAATTTACGGAAGCGACTTTCAGGTAAAACCCTAATCGCCTGCTTTACCGTAAGCTGATTGTTAGAGTTCTCGGCTGATTTTTCTAATTTATGGCAAGGAACTCAGTTTTATAACAAGCCGCCAGGACCGGCCGTAGTAATCTATTGTTAAGAAAATTAACTTTTACGCAGTGAGGTACTATCATAAAACCGAATTAAAACTGGGGAACTATAATATTTTTACTCCACTCAGGATCCTGAACTCAATACACATGATTACTAAAAATTCATTGTAATATTATTGTTAATATATATTTTGCTTTCTTAATTAATAAAACTAATAAACATATTTATAATAATAATAAAAAATATATAAAATACAGCTTTTGTTTAACACGTATAAGTAGCTAAGTGTATCTACTACTTATCCCAGAAAGGAGGTGTTTTAAAAAAGCCCTACGTCCAGTAACTTCTCCCTTCATTGTTTACTCGAAAAAAGTGCTCGTATATGTTTTCATTTGCCGAGAGATCATTTTCAAAATATATTTATAATAAAAATATGCAAGTCTTGGTGATGAAAAATGTACTCCTAATAAATTATTAAAGTACATAAAAAAATAGAAACAAATTTTATTTATTTTAAAAAAATCTCTCGCAAAGGCAGGTTCCTCTTTCTTCTTGAATCAATTATTTCGGGCAATAATGCGCCAAAGCAAAATCTGCCAAGTTTATCTGCTATCTTTTTACATATATTTCTTCGTCTTTATAAATTGTTTCTATATTTATTCCATTGGGTGTCCATACAACAAAATAAACTTGTGAAATACCCGTAACAAGCATTTGTCCCTGGACTTGAAAGTAGTAATCATGATTTTTTTTTTAGTTTCAATTCTCTGTCTGTCAATGTACAAAATTTGATTATTTTTTTTCTAACCGCTTCTTCACGATACAAATCTTGCGATTTTGAAGGGCATTTAATTTCGACTAATGCACTCCTATCCTCTAGAACCCTGTCTGGACTAGCAGCCAAATAAGGAAATTGTTTTGAAATAAACAAGCCACACCGTTCAGTTTTTATATTTTTATTTATTTCAAAACACTTGACAGCTTTTTCCTCACTTTGTTGTCCATAGTATGTATGATTATTACGTCTAAATGTACTGTAGTACAGAGGCTCCACAGTTTTAGCTGTTGCTGTAGTCGATCTAAGTTTGTAAATACGTCCAAAATTTGAAGCCGTAACCCTAATTTCTCTTTCTTTTGCCCAAATGTGCCTGTTGCCTAGTGTCTATTTCAATTTGGTCTAAATTCAAAGATAATTTTTTCAAAAAAACCTCTTTGGCTGTCACAAATGTTTCTACATCCATGACAGGATTTTCTAAAAAATATTTAAACTATAATCGCAGTCGGGACCAGCATACGTAAATTTTTTTACGACATATTTTTTACGAATACTTTGTCTAAGACGAGCTTGTTTTATAGACGAACAATATTTTTTTGTTATTAAACCAGGACCGTTTTAATCATAATATATTTATTTATCCCCTCTAAAAAATTGATGACGTCACCTCAAAATTTTGCTGAATAAATCCTATCTAAATTGTATAAAAAATATGATGAGTCTCTTCTTGTAATTTATCATTCCATTCATATTTTTTGGATTCGGATATACAGGGTGACTCAAAAAATTTAATGAATGCGCAAATTTATTTTATTGATTTAATCAGGAACTACAAAACCGAATGCTTTGAAATCTAATGTGAAAAAAAAACATAATAGGCATGCAGTCGTCACGTTTCCGATAGCGAGGGAAGTACTGTCTAAACTCTTTAGACAATTTTTTTTGATTTTCCCATTTTTCCATTTCTCAATTTTTCAATGTTTCAGTTTGGGATTTTTTCACTGTTTCGATTCTTTAATTTTCCTTCCATTTTTAGGTTTTTCAATATTTCAGCTTTGGAATTTTGCAATATTTCGTTTCTTCCATTTTTCAAATTTTTGATATTGTGTTTTCTCGGTTTTTAAATTTTTCGATATTTTAATTAAGTTTTAGGCTTTTAGATTTCTCACTATCTCGACTTTTCGATTTTTCAGTTCCATGATTTTTCAATTTGTCGAATTTTTAAATTTTAGATTTTTTGTTCTCGATCATTCAATTTTCTGAGTTTTCAGGCTTAGATTTTTTTTGTTGTTCAATTCTTGGATTTTTAAAATTTTTGATTTTTAAATTTTCCTATTTATCAACTTACTGGGATTTCAATGTTTTGATTTTTTGATTGTTCAATTTCTCGATTTTTTGAATTTTTAGTTTTTGATACGATTTTTTTTTTCAAAAATTTTCAGTTTTTCAATTTATTAACTTCACGATATTTCAGTTTTACGATTTCAAATTTTTTTTATTTTTCAGTTTTTAATTTTTGACGTTTTCTAAATTTTTCGATTTTTCAATTTTTCGATTAACTGATTTTTTGATTTTCCCATTTCTCTATTTCTTGATTTTTCAATGTTTCAGTTTTGGATTTTTTCACTTTTCCGATTCTTCAATTTTCTTTCCATTTTTCAGTTTTTCAAGATTTCAGTTTTGAATTTTTTCACTTTTTCGATTTTTCAATTTTCCTTCCATTTTTCAGTTTTTCAGTATTTCAGTTCTGAGATTTTGCAATGTTTCGGTTCTTCAATTTTTCCATTTTTTGATGTTTCGATTTCTCGGTTTTTAAATTTTTCGATAGGTATTTTAATTTTTCAATTTTTAAGTTCTAGATGTTCCGTTAATTTTTTGTTTTCCTTGATGTTTCGATTTTTAAATTGTTTAATTTTTAGATTGTTCAATTTCTCGATTTATAAATTTTTCAATTTTTCGGTTTACCGATTTTTTTCATTTAAAATGTTTCAATTTTTCAATTATTAAGTTTTCGATTTTTCAATTTTGGTGTAATTTGAAAACGGTATTAATAATACATTTAGGCGAAGAAACTAATAGACGGGCTTGATAAGCCTTGTTTGCTCTACAGTGTCTAAATTGTGTTTGAATAATATAATTATCTCGAATATTAAAATTAATATGTCAAAATAATACGAGAAATGATTATTCTGTGCTGAAGGTATGTTGTGGGCCGCCTGTCATAAATTATCATTATTCTGCATTATCGGCTTACGATACTTTTATGACCCACGTCCGGTAGTCGTCCATCCCAGCGCGTCAGGTAGATTAAAAGAAGAATTGCTGGTTGCGTTTAAGGCAACAAATGGCGCCCAATTTAAACTTGTCTCTCGTCTAGCGTTCCCCCTTAAGCTATTACCAAATTATTGTCTGACAAGCGTTAACGTCAGTGCAATAAAATTCTTTAAATCTTCTCGTTCTGTAATTATTTCACTAGTTCTAAACCGATTCCATGTAAACATTGAGCCTAATTTAAAAGCGGGAGTTAATCCTGCGACTTCAACAGATCCCGTTGAAGCTTTATCACCTCCTAATTGATTTATTTAAACGACTACAAACACGTTTTTTGTGACCTGTACATAAAATATAGCTTCAAGTAGCAGCCACTTGTCAGTTTAAATTTATTTACTTTTAATAGTTAGTCATGTTACTTAATTTCGGGGGCGTGGCTATACTAAGTAAACTATACTTATTAAATAGTCGCTAATCCTAGCCACAGAGCAAACCACTGCAAACCGCGATTTTTCTTCCTCCTTCACTGACCAACTTTCGTAGGTACAACAAACCAAAGTGACATCTGTGCTCACGGAGCCACAACGGGCTCTTGTCTCCACAATATCCACCACTCAGACCAAGATCAAAGAGTCAGAGATAGAACTAGAGGGTCGACAACGCCTTCCCGAACTAGGCAGCGACCCCAGCTCCCGAAAATGGAAGCAAGTGACTTTAGACACCCGCAAACAAAACGTCGGCTCTCAAATAGCCGCCATGAACGCCGCCACCGCCCAAGTGGTTACTCTTACCTCAGGTCCCCAGGATGAGGTGGACCATAACGCCGTAGGAGCGGCTATCACCACCATCGGAACGAACTTACCCGAAATGACTAAAGACGTGAAGATGATCGCCGCTTTGATGGACGACTCCAACATGGGAGAGAAGTTGTTGGATGCCACTAGGAAACTGTGTACTGCTTTCAGTGACTTACTGAAGGCTGCAGAACCTGAGTCGAAAGAACCGAGACAGAGTTTGCTTAATGCAGCGTCTAGAGTGGGAGAGGCTAGTACTAGTGTTCTGGCGACGATCGGTGAAGACACCGCTGAGAATAAAGAACTTCAAGATATGTTGTTGTCATTGGCGAAAGCTGTGGCTAACACTACGGCGGCTTTGGTTTTGAAGGCTAAGAACATCGCGTCGACTTGTGAGGATCAGCAGACTCAGAATAGAGTGATCGGGGCGGCAACTCAGTGCGCTTTGGCAACGTCGCAACTTGTGGCGTGTGCCAAAGTCATAGCGCCGACTTTAACATCGCCTGCGTGCCAAGAACAACTGACGGCGGCGGTCAGAGAGGTCGCTAAAGCCGTCGAAAACTTAGTTTCGGTTTGTAACGAAACTTCAAGCAACGAGGAGTTGATGAATCAGTTGAAAATGGCAGCAGGGGAGGTCACCAGAACTTTGAACGATCTTTTGAACCACATCAAGCTAGCGTCACGCGAACGGGCTCAGGAGACAGTACAAGAGTACAGCGTGGAAGAAATTTACACTGCTACTGACAGATTGTCAGCGGCATCTGGTGACCCTAACGAAATGGTCAAACAAGCGCGACTCCTAGGACAAGCCACCGCTCAGCTTATTCAAAGTATTAAAGGCGAGGCTGAGAAGACCCCTGATTCGGATATCCAAAGGCGGTTGCTCGCCGCCGCCAAAACTTTGGCCGATGCCACCGCCAGGATGGTGGAAGCCGCGAGACAGTGCGCTTCGCATCCTCACGACATCCACTACCAGAGTGTGTTGCGTAAGACGGCTGAAGAACTGAGGGATGTGACTACGGTTGCGGCTACAACTCCGGCCTTGAGGGCTAAATTAGTAGATCGGGTGAAAGTGTGTGCTCGAAAAGCCGTATCTTCAGCCACTCAATGTATCACAGCGGCTCAAGCAAGTCACCCTTATAACGCCAACCCGACAACACGAGACGCTCTAATTACCGAAACGCAAGAGCTAGCCAAACAGATCCCACCTCTCGTCGGATCGATTAAAGCCAGTACTGCCAACCCAGAAGACACGAAGAGTCAAGTTGATTTGATTTACGTCGCCGACGTTTTCCTCCATGTAAGTTGCACAACAATTACAAACTATTTCCATTTATATTGTTTATGTACTTTATTTTTTACGTTGACGGTTTGGTAATTTACGTGTGTGTTTACTCTACTTTACAGCCTGCCACTCACTTCGTGCAAACTTCCCAATCAGTCCTCCCCACAATCCACGAGCAAGCCATCACCGAGCAACTCTCCGTTACCAGCCAGAAACTAAACACCGACTTGAGTGACCTGAGAGGTGCTCTGAGTCGAGCCAAACCGGTGTGTCAAGGTCTCGGTCTGGGTGCTGCTGCTCAGCTGATCGCCGACTTGCAAGAGGAACTCGACGAGTTCCAGCGCGCCGTCACAGCACATAGCCTCAGACCGCTGCCTGAGGATACGCCCGAACGTGGAGCCGAAGCGCTCACTTCTAGCAGCAAAGCAATCAACCAAGGCGTGGCTCAACTATTGAGTGCTGCAGCTCAGGGCAATGAGATTTACACGGACAAGGCGGCTCGCGATACTGCTCAGAGTCTGAGGTCTTTGGCGGGAGCCGTGAGGACCGTTGCGGCCACCACGAACGACCAAGAGGTGCAGTTGAAGGTGATCGGGTCCGGACAAGAAGTGCTGATGCATTCGGCCAAGTTGGTGGAGGAGGCGCAGAAGACGCTTCACTCGGTCGAGGTGACTCCGGGACTGCAACATGCCGCGAAGGACATCACGAATGCGCTCAATCAAGCCATCAATTGCCTACCAGGTGAGTGGAGTACTGTGATAACCCAAACATCCCGCCTTAAAATGGAATGTGAAAAAAATTTGAAAAACCCGCAAAATTTGAAAAAATGGCTTTGACTATGATCGTGTAGCAAAACAGAACCCTACATTGTTTGTGTGTGTGTGTGTGTGTGTGTGTGGCGGAATGCGTTCACATGCACCCCAGGGTTGGAAAAGTACCGCTAAATAAAACACAATATATAGAGGACACAAACGTTTATTCCTCCATCCTAACAAAAAAAAAAAAAGAAAATCTGAATTAAAGTAACTGGATGCAAATACACAAATTATTACGGGTGTGTGGCAGCAAATTTAAATTGTGGCTGTCAACAAGAGAGCCAAATTTGAATAAAAACTATGCAGCGGGGTTCAACATCCCGAAACCTTAGTTATAACTTAATAAACAAAAGGATGAGTCTTGATTAAGCGAATCTCATGAAATCTCCTATCAAGTGCTTTATCTGAACAATCTCATGACTGCTAAATTGTGTTAGAACCTGTAACGATTAAAATCCTAACATGAACTGTAAATTTACAAACAATAAAACAAACTTCCACCATGTGTTAGCATTGGTCGAAAATTCGCCTATTTCCGATTAGAAAAACACCAATAACTTCCTTAAATAATGGCTATTCTTTTTTTTTTTTTTTAAATACCAAACCAGCTAAACTTAATCTAGCTATCACTACCAATCCTCTCACCAGATTACTACCCACAAATTCCCTAGAAGAGCTACCAACTGCCAGAAAAAAAGAACTAAACTTGCACATCGTTGCCTTTTTTTTTTCAGCGCGAAATTTTAATTCAAATTTGGACACCACAGTACAGAGGGATTTTAGAAGTGTCAGGCGTCAAGTTACCATTAGTTTAGACTTGCTTGGCGTTTAGCGTTCCACTTAAAAAGACAATTGTGACAGTTAGGTTATGGTTGACCATTGTGACAATCATTACAACGATGCGACAAAATTCATGACATTTCAAAGCCAACTTTCTAATATTTTTACAAAAAAGTTGCTTTTAACAATAATTATTGTATTAGTACTTCTTAAGATACGACTGATTTTGGCAAATGACATACTCTCGAAGAAAATGGGTGGGTGGGGTTAGGATTTCTAAAGATAAGACTGATTTTGGCCAATGATATTGCCAAAAAACCTGTCTCGAAAATGGAGGGCGGGTTGACAACCTAAGATACGACTGATTTTGGCAAATGATATACCTTCAAAAAATAAAGGGTGGGTGGTGGGGTTAGTATTTGTAAAGATCAGACTGATTTTGGCAGATGATGTAAGATACGACTGATGTTGGCAAATGACATACCTTCTAAGAAAACAAAGGGCGGGTGGGTGGGGCTAGCAACCTATGATAAGACTGATTCTGGCAAATGACGTACCTTCTAAAAAATAAAGGGCGGGTGGGTGGGGCTATTATTTGTAAAGATAAGACTGATTTTGGCAGACGACATAAGATACGACTGATTTTGATAAATGTCATATCTTCTAAGAAAATAAAGGGCGGGTGGGTGGGGCTAGCAACCTAAGGTACGACTAATTTTGGCAAATGAGATACCTTCTGAAAAAATAAAGGGTGGGTGGGTGGGGCTAGTATTTATAAAGATAAGAATGGTTTTGGCAGATGATATAAGATACGACTGATGTTGGCAAACGACATACCTTCCTCGAAAATAGAGGGCGAGTGGGCGGGGTTAGCAACATAAGATACGACTGATTTTGGCAAATGATATGCCCTCTAAAAAATAAAGGGTGGGTGGGGCTAGTATTTGTACAGATAAGTCTGACTTTGGCAGATGATATAAGAAACGAGTGATTTTGGCAAATGATATACCTTCTAAGAAAACAAAGGGCGGGTGGGTGGGGTTAGCAACCTAAGATACGACTGATTTTGGGAAATGACATACCTTCTAAAAAAATAAATGGCGCGTGGGTGGGGCTAGTATTTGTATAGATGAGACTGATTTTGGCAGATGATATAAGATACGACTGATTTTGGTAAATGTGATACCTTCTAAGAAAATAAAGGGTCGGTGGGCGGGGCTTGTATTTGCTAAGATAAATTGATTTTGGCAAATGATATACTGTCTAAGACAATAGAGAGGGTGTGGGCAGGGCTAGTACACTTAATGTTTATACATATAAACTTGATTCAAAGAAAGTTAAGTGTTTCGACATTTCCAGAAACATCAGTCGGTTTTCGTTTGCGAGATATCTATTGCTTAAATTTAGTTAAATTTTAATTATCGTATTTAGGACATTGTTAAAAAAATGTTTACTTAATTTTATTTGTTTTATTATAATTGCTGGTTTTTGACTCTTATTAGGTTGTTTTCATTTTTTCATTGTAATAAATTATATTAATGGATTATTTTTTTAGCATATTTTGTTATGTTGAGAAATGAATGAATAAATTATGTATTTTTGTTGAAGACTTAAATAATAAAAAAATGTTGACAATATTATCAATACAAAAAAAAAAACGCAGTCATACGCTTTTTGTCTTTTAGGCATAAATGACTTCCTTGTATCCCAAACCTTTTTGCCGTTTGTGAATGTCTAGTTTAATTTTTATTGGAGTCCGATATACGAAAAAACACGATTTTAACATTTTTCAAAAAAATAATACCTTGCACAATAATAATAATTTTTTTGAAATAATTAGCAAATTTTATTTATAAGGATTTGAATAAATGGTTTTAATTAATTTTAGATGCTTAAAATCATTTTCTTTTTGCTTGACGACTATAACAATTCGATGAACACTCCCTTTGCAGGAACCAACAATAATCTCCCATTGTTTATCCCGATCCCTTACTTCGAAACCGAGATATTTGTGATCTATATCAATTTAACAATATGCGATATATGCAGACGTTGATATTTTATACCATATTGACCGCAGATGTAACAGAATACATTAGGGTTGTTCTTACACATGTACAATTGGTTTCAAAAAAAACGGGACAAATGAAAGTGACGTAAACGTCATATTCCCATTGCTTTTCGATCTATGAGCACCTGATTTACTCATCTTGCCCCGTTTTTTGTGAAACCAATTGTAAGTGCGATTTTTTTTTAGTATTACACTCATTTTGCAAAATTACATACAACAGGAATTTTGACGTAACTTCTAAATGTCATTTAAATTGCCTACTTGACTAAATCATCAAATCCGATTTTTTCAACTCGTGTAATAATAAGATGCCCGTTTTATGTGAAAAATGGCAATTTTACGATAAAAAATTACGTGTAGCACAAAAATGTGACGTGATGGAAAAATTTGGAGAGCAGATTTAAAATCTACATAAAAAACTGCATTCAGTGCACACATTTTTATTAAAGGAGTATTTTGGTTGTTGACTAATGTAATTTATAGTACATTCAAGGGAAAAAGTCAGTGATAAAGACGCGTGATCAGCCAGTTTTATACTGTACCGATATTTCACTGCCGGTGCGTTTTATTGTTTACTCATCCCTTGCGTTTTCTCGTCTACTTGCTTTCGTCGTTTGTGTTTCTGCTTTTTGCATCATGTCGGATGTTGGAAACATTATTTTGTCAAAATCAAAACTCAAAATGTTTTACAGTGTAACACGGGCTAGGCGCAGTAATCTTACCAAGATGCATCATGACCTTTCACGTGATCACTGACTCTTTCATTTGAACAGAGTATAATGCAAAAATCTTGTGTTACTAGGGCAAAGGGATGTGGACACCGCCATCACCAACATCATCGAATGGACCGCCACCATCAACTCGGGCCACTTCCCCCACACCAACAAGAGCTACGGCGAGCTCCAACAGGAACTCAACACCGCCGCCGCCAACTTGAACGAAGCCAGTTCGGTGGTGGTGAGCTCGGTTCGCAGCCCCACCCAACTGTCTTCGTCGTCTAAAGATTTCTCGTCCGCGTTCCATGATTTGCTCGGAGTATCCATGGAAATGGCGGGTCAGACCCAAGATACCGACATCAGAGGCCAGATGGTGCATTCGTTGAAGAACGTCTCCACTAGCTCGAGTACCCTCTTGACGACTGCTAAGTCGCTTTCCGCCGACCCCTACTTACCGAACGGGAAAAACCAATTGGCTGCAGCTGCCAGAGCGGTCACTGATAGCATTAATCACTTGGTGAACGTGTGCACGTCTGCGGCACCGGGTCAAACCGAGTGTGATAACGCCATAAGGAAGATTCAAGCGATGAAACACTTGCTGGAGAGTCCTACGGAGCCTGTGAACGACTGTAGCTACTATGAGGCGTTGGACTCGGTTATTGATAAGAGTAAAGTTTTGGGTGATTGCATGACTGGAATCACTAATAGTGCGAAGCAGTCGCAGCATGAGAAGTTTGCTGAACACATTAAAACGTTCAGTAGCTCCATCTGCAGTTTCATTGAGGCTTCAGCTCAGTCGGCTTATTTGGTGGGGGTGTCTGATCCTTCCAGTATTGCGGGACGTCCAGGATTGGTCGATCAAGCACAATTTGCACGTGCTTCTCAAGCTATTTATCAAGGGTGTACAGCGCTAGCGTCACCCTCAAGCCCTCAGAAACAAGTATTGGAAGCTGCCACTCTTATCGCTAAGCACACCAGCGCCCTCTGTAACTCGTGCCGGGTGGCTAGTTCAAAAACCACCAATCCCGTGGCGAAAAAGCAGTTCGTGCAGAGCGCCAAAGCAGTAGCTAATTCTACCGCAGCTCTGGTAAAAGAAATCAAGACTCTGGATTTGGATTACTCCGACGTGAACAGACAAAGATGCGCACAGGCCACAGTTCCCTTACTAGGTAAGTAATTTCCGGACCAACCTAACTTAACCAATACTAAGTACTAATCACACAGAGGCCGTCGAAAATCTCTGCATCTACGCAAACTCAAGCGAGTTCGTCTCAATCCCAGCCAAAATCTCCCCTCAAGCCAGACGAGCCCAACAACCGATCATCGATTCGGGCAACCGATTGATCGACAGTTCTTGCACTGTGGTCAAGGCGGCAAAGAATTTGGTCGTGATGAACAAGGACCCATCGACGTGGCAACACTTCGCAAGTTCGTCGAAAGACGTTTCGGAATCGATTAAGCAACTGGTGGTCAATATTAGGTGAGTGGGTGCGATGTTTGAGAAAATTTTGACTATTGGGTTTACAGAAATGGTGCTCCTGGTAAAAACGAATGCGAAAGTGCTGCCACCGTCCTTACTAATCATCTGAGGACTCTGGATACGTCGTCTATGGATGCTGTGTCTCAGTCGTTGGTGCCCAGGAAGGGCGCTTCTTTGCCGGTTTATAGCCAGCAGGTGGAACGCGCGGCGGCTGGTTTGTTTGACACGATTGAGCCTTTGAGACAGGCGGCCAAACACGAAGCGGAGAATATCGGGCATGCGGTTAGTCAAATGGTGAGTAAATAACAGACTTTGAGTTTTCGGTAAATTTGATCGCGACGCTTTGTTTCAGATACAATATTTCGAGCCCTTGGTGCAGAGCACCATCGGTGCGGCGTCCAACATGAAGAACTCGAAGCAGCAAGAACAACTCCTCGATCAAGCGAAGTCGGTCACGGAATCAGCTCTCCAACTCGTTTATGCGACCAAGGATTGTGGCGGCAATTCTAAGGTTGCTTCTGTTGCGGCCGACTTATTCACTTAATAATGTTGTGGTTTACAGGCCGTCAACATTCATCCCGACATAGACGAGTGTGCTAATTCCACTCGCGACACTCTACAAGAATTAGTTACCAGCTTAGAAACCATATCGACTCAAAGCGGAATTGTTTCAGGAGTCGTCGACAATCTGACAAGGGCCATGACTCGATTGTCCGACCATAGAGCTTCTTTAATTATATCAGACAGTGACAGTTACGTCGATTACCAGACGAGAATGGTGGAGTACGCCAAGGATATAGCCAAGTTAGCTGGCGAGATGGTAAGTAAATTTTTCCACACGATCACGTTGTATTTTTTTTTTTTTGTGTGTGTTTAGGCGAGCAAGGCCTCCAGCGACACCCAGAAACTCGCCCCTCTGTCCGCCGACCTCTCCCACAAGTACACCCAACTGGCCAATGACAGCATCGGCGCTGCAGCAGCCTCTACCAACGGCGAAGTCTCCATGCGTCTGAAGGAAGTCGTCCAACAACTCGGTGGCGCTTGCGTCGAGTTAGTACAAGCCGGCGGTCAATGCCTGATCAGAAAGGACGACATTATCCTGCGGGAAATCGGAGATTGTTCCAGGAATGTGACCGAGAAGGTGTCACGCGTCTTGGCAACGTTGCAATCAGGGTCACGTGGTACTCAGGCTTGCATCAACGCTGCGTCCACAGTGTCGGGAATCATCGGCGATCTGGAAACCACAATCATGTTTGCCACCGCCGGGAATCTAAATCCTGAGAATGAGCACGAGTCGTTTGCGGATCACCGCGAGAATATTTTGAAGACGGCTAAGGCATTGGTGGAGGATACGAAAACGCTGGTTGCTGGAGCGGCTTCGTCGCAGGAGCAGCTGGCGGTGGCGGCACAGAATTCCGTGTCCACTATTGGTAAATAGAGAAATAGTTGATTTTCTTGCGGTAGAAGCCAGATGTTGGATTTTATGTTTTTATTTTTACAGTTCAACTGGCGGAAGTTGTGAAGTTCGGGGCTGCCAGTTTGGGCTCGGACAACCCGGATTCTCAAGTAATGCTGATCAACGCCGTCAAAGATGTCGCTAGTGCTCTAGGCGACTTGATTCACGCTACCAAGGCTGCCAGCGGTAAGCCCATCAACGACCCAGCGATGGCCCATTTGAAGGAAAGTGCCAAGGTACGGTTTATCAAAGTGCTTTAGTGTGTGTTGTGTGTTACTGTTTTCGTTGTGTAGTTTTCGCTTCTTATTTGTTTTGTTTGTAATATTTTTTGTTATCACATCATTTAGTACATTGTATTTGATCACACTTTGTATATCGTTAAACGAGTTGTAGATTTCCAGTGTATGGCTTGTTTTTGCATGCGTGTGATGTACTAAATTCCTTGTATTAATATGGGGTGGACTTTAAAACGATTAATGTGGTTGATAAAAAGAGTACATAACACACATGCTAAAACTTGATTAAAATTTGAATAAAATAACAGTGTAAAATAAATTAACATGCGAAAATCAAAACATGTGAAGCGTTTAAAGTCCACCTTCGTTTATCAGTGTATTTAACCGACCAGAGTTTTGATTAACCGAAGCTTTTGTGGAAAAGGTGGCGGGTTTTAACACATGTTTTGATCCATGACAGGTTCCTGATTCTGATACTGATTGGTGGGTTTCCGATCAAGAAGAGGAATTAATTCGGTTATTAAGCGACAGCAAAGAGAACATAGCTACTGAAGCATTGCAATCAGACATAATCCCTTGCCTCCTCATTACATAATCGTACACGTGCGGCAATCATTGTTTCTAGTCTCATTAGTGTGTGTTCACTTTATTGTACTCAGTTTTGTTCTCAGAGCTATTTTTGATGTAAGTTTATAATAGGCAATTTTATTTTTTATCTTTATATTTATCAAAATTATTTTCTTATTTATTTAGCCAATAAATGGTGTGGTAATTACAATTTTATTTTCTATTCTAAAACACAGCCTTTTGTTGCGTTAAGGTTAGTACTTTTAATTTGTGTTGGTTTGGGTGGTCGCACTATTCCTTCTTCTTTTTTAGTTTACTATCATTTTAATAACCATTTTCAGCTTACGTGGACTTAACGCATGTTACTTAACTTAAGTAGGAGAATAACTACTTACTTTGTTTTGTCGTAGGTCATGGTCACGAACGTGACGTCGCTCCTTAAAACGGTGAAAGCCGTGGAAGACGAACACACAAGAGGCACCCGGGCCTTAGAATCGACCATCGAAGCAATCGGGCAAGAAATGAAGGTAATTTTTTTAGTCTCAAAAAATATGAAATTTAGTGTCTTCAATGTTCGCTTAATTCCAGGCCCTCTACTCCAGCGACGGCTGCAGACAAGGCGTCACCGCCGAAGACCTCGTCCGCTGCACGAAAGCCATCACCAAAGCCACGGCGAAATCAGTGGCCGCTGGCATCAGCAACAAGCAAGACGACATCATCGCGGCCGCCAATTTGGCGCGAAAATCGATCTCGGACATGCTTATAATATGCAAAAGCGCCGCCTACAATCTCTCTGAAACTCCAGAAATGAGGGAGAGGACGCTGGATGGCGGCCACGAGTGCGCCCAGCAGTTCCGGGAACTCCTGGTTACGATCCTGCAAGGCAACGTCGCCGACGCCAAACACACCCTGCCGGCTATTTCGCGTCGAATCGCCCAGGCCGCCACCGAGTTGGTCAGCGTTGCGTCACTCCTGAAGGGCTCCGATTGGGTGGATCCGGACGATCCTACCGTCATTGCCGAGAATGAGCTGTTGGGAGCCGCGGCGTCCATCGATGCCGCCGCGAAGAAGTTGGCGAGTTTGAGGCCAAGGAAGACCATAAAAGTGAGTGGATTTTGATTTTTACTTCCTAGCTACTTTATGTTTTCTCGGCGTCTGTTTCCGTGTGTCTGTCGGGATTTTTGTTAGGGTGATAATCTCCGAAACTACTGCACAGATTGTTGTCAAATATAAATGTATATTAAAAAAAAAGTAAAATTTAGGGAAGTTCTGTCGCAATAACTTTGGTCCAATTTTTTGTTGTTATCGTTGTTTCGTCAGCGAGAAGTGGTTGTGGGTTGCTATAAGATATGTTTGATATTCTTGGTTGTATTTTAAATTCACCCAGGAGTCAAACATATTATTATAGAAGCATCACGTTTCGACAAGGTGGACGCCATCAGGTGAGTTGTGTTTTGACAAGTGGGATTTATAAACTTGCTGTTGACGTTGAAGTTCCCGCTGACGTTGCTTTTAGAGCTGAAAATTGTCATTTATAAACTCCGTTGACAAATTGCGGTGATAGTAACTTTGACGTACACCTTTGCCGTGTATAAAAGGGTTCTAGAAGAAAAGTGAGGGAATTAAGTTGATTATTACAAAAAATTACCATTTTAGACATGTTTTAAGTTTCTTATTGTCAAAGTAAGTCTACACATATTAAAAAAAAAAAAAAACAGGCAAAATGTAGCCCCGTTCTCTATTGTGATGAGTTTTTCATTCGTTGTTAGATCAAGGGGCGGGGCTTAATTGCAAGATCCATATTTGTCTAGAAAAATTTACCATTTCAAACATGTTTTAAAGTTCTTGTTCTGAAAAGACGACTACGTATGTTAAGGAAAAAGGCAAAATATAAACCCCGCCCACCCGCCCTGTCTCAATTGTGATGATTTTTTTTTAATCGTCGAGAGCCAAAGGAGCGGAATTTAATTGCAAAATTCTTATTGTTTCTCTACAAGAAATTACCATGTAAGAGATGTTTTTGAATATAGTGTTGTACATAAAATACTATGAAAAATTAAAGCCAAAGATTAAGCCCCACCCATACCCGGCCTGATCTAAATAGTAATGAAGTTTTCATGCGCTGGCAGACCTAGGGGCGGAGCCTAATTGCAAATCCATACTTCCTTACAAAAATTTACCATTTTAAACGTGTTTTAAGTGTCTAAGATTAAAAAAAATATATCACAATTGAGATGGGGTGGGTGGGCGGGGTTTATGGTTAGCCTTTTTTTCTTAATATACCTAGTATTCTTTGAATAACACGATACTCAAAAACATGTTTTTAATTTCTCGTAAAGAAATAAATATTTTACAGTTAAGCTCCACCCTCTTGGTTCTCGGCGAATAAAAAAAATCATCACAATTGAGATAGGGCGGGTGGGCGGGCTTACATTTTGGCTTTTTGTTTTAATATGTGTAGACTTCTTTCCACCACAATAAACTTAAAACTTGTTTAAAATGGAAAATTTGTATAAGAAAATGTCGATTTAGCAATTAGACTTCACCCTATAATTGCAAAATCCATATTTCCTTGCAAAAATGTACCCTTTTAACCAAGTTTTAAGTTTCTTCTTGTGAAAAAATGGCTATGTATATTAAGAAAAAAAAAAGGCAAAATATAAGCCCCACCCACCCGCCCTATCTCAATTCTGATGATTTTCTTTATTCGTCGTGAGCCGAGGGGTGGAGCTTAATTGTAAAATCCTTATTTTTCTACGAGAAATTACAATGTGAAATATGTTCTTAAGTAATCCTGTTATACAAAGAAAACTAAATGTATTAATTAAAAAAGAAAACTAAAAGACAAGCCCCACCCATCCGTCTATATCTTAATCGTGATGAATTTTTCATTCGTTGTCAGACCGAGGGGTGGAGTGTAATTGCAAAATCGATATTTCCCTATACAAATTTACCATTTTAAACATGTTTTAAGTTTCTTGTTGTCAAAAAATGACTACACACATATTAAGAAAACAAGCCAAAATGTAGCCCCGCCCACCCACCCTATCTCAATTGTGATGATTTTTTTTTATTCGTCGTGAGCCAAGGGGGCGAAGCTTAACTGCAAAATCCTTATTTTTCTACGAAAAATTAAAAACATGTTTTGAGTGTTGAGTTGTTCAAAGAATACTATGTAGATTAAGAAAAAAATAAACCCAAAGATTAGGCCCTACCCATACCCGCCCGGATCTCAATTCTTTATTGTGATGAATTTTTCATTCGTTGTCAAAATTCGAGGGGCAGGGCTTAATTGCAAGGTCTATATTTGTCTACAAGAATTTACCATTTCAAATACGTTTTAAATTTTTTGTTCTGAAAAAACGACTACGTATGTTAAGAAAAAGGGCTAAATATAAACCCCGCCCACCCGCCCTATCTCAATTGTAATGATTTTTTTTTTAATCGTCGAGAGCGGAAGTTAATTGCAAAATCCTTATGAGTTCTGTACAAGAAATTACCATGTAAGACATGTTTTTGAATATCATGTTGTTCATAAAATACTGTGAAAAATTAAACCCATTTTCCCCAATTTCGACCCATTCTCGACGATTTTCGAAATTTAACAAAATACTGCCATGTAGATTTTGGGCCACAGAAGTCACTTCTGGCTTTATTTCTTCGATAATTTAAACCGTTTTTCCAGAATCGTCCATTGAAATATCGCAATTTTCGAAAATTTCAAAAAAATTGGAATTTCACATCGAATTTTCCGAAAATATTGCTCCGTTACCATAAGTATGCTATATTTTTGGAATCAGTACGTCGGGATATATACAGTTGCCGCCAAAAAATTTCAGACGTCAATGTCATTCAGTCGTCAGATAGTGTAAAGCAACCTTTAGATGTTTAGGTATTTTGAAAGTTTGACATTCTAGCTGTCCGAAATAATGACAATAAAGCATAGACTACATTAAAATTTTTGACATGACAGAAAAGTGATGTTTGAAATTTTTTGTCGGAAACTGTATATCTGAATTTTTTCAGAATTTTTAGACAACTTTTTCAAAAATGAAATTTTACACTGTGATAGTACTTGCCAAATAACCTACCTTCTAAGAAAATAAAAGGCGGGTGGGCCAGGCTAGTATTTGCCAAAATAAGACTCATTTTGACAAATGACCTACTCTTCGAAGAAAAGGTACTAGCCCCACCCTTTATTTTCTTAGTAGGTCATCTACCAAAATCAATCTTATCTTGGCAAGTATAAGACTGATTTTTGCAAATGACATATCTCTAAGAAAATAAAGGGTGTGTGGGCGGGGCTAGTACTTGTCAAGATGAGACTGATTTTGGCAAATAACATATCCTCAAAGAAAATAAGGGTAGGTGGGCGGGGCTAGTACTTGTTAAAATAAGATTGATTTTGGCAGATGACCCACTCTTCTAAGAATATAAAGGGTGGGTGGGCGGGGCTACTACCTTTTCTTAGCTGAGTAGGTCATTTGCCAAAATGAGTCTTATTTTGGCAGATACTAGCCTGGCTCGCCTGTCTTTTATTTCTTTAGAGGGTAGGTTATTTGGCAAGTACTAGCAAATTTCGACCCATTTTCGACGATTTTCGAAATTTGACTAAATACTTCTTCTTGTAGATTTCGGGGCATAGAAGTCACTTCCGGCCTGATTTTTTCAATAACTGCAACCTTTTTTCCAGAATTAGTTAATTAATACAGTGCATTGAAATAACACAATTTTTAAAAATTTCAAAAAATTCAATACAACACGTACAGAAAGATCTTGCGTCATTTTTACAAGTACGTGCATGTTTTCAAGTTCAGTTCGGATTGCAAAGTTTTTGTTCGGATTAAAGAGATATCGATTTCAACTAGCCTCTGTACGGATTACTGGATGTTCAGATAATCATGGATGGGATTATAGAGGTTATACTGTATTAAGAAAAAATTTAAAGCCGAAGATTAAGCCCCACCCATATCTGGCCTGATCTAAATACTAATGAAGTTTTCATTCGTTAACACACCTAGGGGCGGAGCCAAATTGCAAAATCCATATTTCATTACAAAAATTTTACCATTTTAAACGTGTTTTGAGTGTCTAAGAATAAAAAACCTCATCACAATAGAGATCAGGTGGGTGGGCGGGGTTCATATTTTACCTTTTTTTCTTAATATACAAACATTCTTTGAACAACACGATACTGAAAAACATGTTTTTAATTTTTTGTAAAGAAATAAGTATTTTGCACTTAAACTCCGCCCCCTTGTTTCTCACCGAATAAAAAAAATCATCACAATAGAGATGGGGTGGGTGGGCGGGGTTTATATTTTACCTTTTTTTATTAATATACATAACATTCTTTGAACAACACACTGAAAAACATGTTTTTAATTTTTTGTAAATACGTATTTTGCAGTTAAACTCCGCCCCCTTTGTTCTCAGCGAATAAAAAAATCATCACAATTGAGATAGGGTGGGTGGGCGGGCTTACATTGTGCCTTTTTGTTTTAATATGTGTAGACACAACAAGAAACTTAAAACATGGTTAAAATGGTACATTTTTGAAAAGAAATGTGGATTTTGCAATTATGGAGGGACGCCTAATTGCAAAATCGATGTTTTCTTATACAAATTTTTCATTTTAACCATTTTTTTTAAGTTTCTTATTGTGAAAAGATGGCTATGTATACTAAGAAAAAAAGGGGCAAAATATAAGCCCCGCCCACCCGCCCTATCTCAATTCTGATGATTTTTTTTATTTGTTGTCAGACCGAGGGGCATAGCGTAATTGCAAAATCGATATTTCCGTATACAAATTTACCATTTTAAACATGTTTTACCTTTCTTGTTGTGAAAAGAAGACTACAGTACACATATTAAGAAGAAAGGGCAAAATGTAAACCCTTATAGTTATACGTAATCTCTTTTTTGATATAAATAGCAACAAATCTTGTTGATTTAAACGTCGAGAACCATCTGTAACAATACATAAGTACTGAAAAAACGCTACAGTGTAGAAAATGATAGCAGTTATTTAAAATATGAGGGTTTCGGTTAACAGATGTTTAATGGCTTAATATTAGTGGACCTCATTATCTCTATCAAAATTTGATTTTCGTGGAGTTAGTGCTATCTGCTATCAACCAGAAAAATGTCCCCCCTACTTCAGGGGATTTTCCTTCAAGTTGGCAACACTGCACACTGGCGCAATTTTATTGGTTGAAAACCCAACGTCAGCGGCAAGTTTATAACTCGACCTTCATTTTTGTAGTTAGTCTTCACTTGACGAATCAACCCGATACTATCTTATTGTAATTTTGTAGACACAAGACCTGGACGAGTCTCTCAACTTCGACGAAATGATCCTGGAAGCCGCCAAATCCATAACATCTGCCACTTCTGCTTTAGTCAAAGCGGCCAGCGCCGCCCAGCGCGAACTAATCGACAGTGGAAAAGTATCCCGAACGCCGACGTCATCATCCGACGACGGCCAGTGGTCAGAGGGTCTAATTTCGGCTGCAAGGCTTGTGGCCGCAGCCACTCACAGTCTCGTCGAGAGTGCCAATGCGTTGGTACAGGGTATGGGTAGCGAAGACAAATTAATTTCTTCAGCTAAGCAAGTAGCCAGTTCTACTGCGCAGCTGCTGGTCGCTTGTAAAGTCAAAGCAGAGGGTGACACTGTAGCCACCAGAAGGTTACACCAAGCCGGAACCGCGGTCATCAGATCCACGGATAACTTGGTGAGGGCGGCACAACAAGCCAAGAACGTGGAAGAAGAGCGGTGTTTGGTGCTGAATAAGAGAATGGTGGGAGGAATCGCACAAGAAATTGACGCAAGATCCGAGGTGTTCAGGATAGAGCGCGAGCTGGAGGAAGCCCGCAGCCGACTGACCGCCATCCGTCAAGCCAAGTACAAGCTGCGCGGCTACGACACGTCCGGTGACGATACCGACGGTTATATAAGTTCGGCGCAAGATGGCGAAACATCGCGGTGAGTCCCAGGTGTGTGTCTAACCCTACTAATCACTTGTGCTTGTTTTGGTAAGCTTCGGTTGTCGGTGTTGGAGTGGAATTGTTGCTTTGCACTGTACGATCGCATTCCTCTGTAGTGGCGTCATGATTATACATTTCAAACTTCATTGTAAACTAACAGAGGACGTTTTATTGCATGTGCAGCGTGAAGGTAATTTTTGAATAATCACGATCATGGTGATCTAGACTCTAGTGAGTAGGTAAGAGCACGCGTGTTTTTTTAACAATATTAATCTATTGCTTTGAGGATTTGCTCGTTGATCTTGGTTTGTTGTCATTAAGTCATTCATCGTTGTTTCATTGGCATTTAGTTGATCTGGTAGTACAAGTGCTCAAGGCAATTTCTTGGCACTTTTTCTTATGTCTACGTTTATTTTTTTTTTCCTACACGAAATGAAAATAAAACTCCTGAAGTTAGTGACTGATGTTATGTTCAACTTTTGTGATGTTTTAAAAAAAATGTGTGGTATTGGTGAAATAGTAATAAACAATAAGTACTATTGATTTCAGAAAATTCCGTGGGAGAAAAGTTGTTGTTAAAGCCGTAGAGGTTATTGGCACCCAAAATGTTGTAAGGTATTGAATTGAAAGCTTTGTGTTGTGTATGTCATAAAAAGTACAATACGTTGTAACACATAAAGGGTTACAACTGTAGAAGTTAAAAAACTTCTTTAATTGAAAATGAAATAGAATAGCGATGTGAAAAGTGACAAAAGAACATTAAAAAACACTAATAAAGACAGTCATGGATTTTTGAAAAATTATCTTTGATTTGAAATTTTAATTTGAAAGTTTCAGTTGAAAATGGAACAATTAAAGACAAACTTTCAAAAATCCATGGCTATGTTTAATCGTGCTTTTTATCGTTTTCGGTTTTTACAGCTACAATTTTGTCGTAACATTGGATAAAACTAACCTAAACTTTTCAATCTATTGATAAATAGAAAAAATATTCTATACTTCTATAACTAAAATTTTTGACTTTTAAAACACTGCTAAAATTTCTTGATTATGCAACCAACATCACTAACGCGATTGTCACAAAAGAGCACATTGAATTATGAACAAAATTGAGGATGATATTTAGGTGACCAATTTAAAAAAAACCGTCATTCATTTTTTGGATGCTCCACTTCCGATCGACACCCCTTAGAAGTCTGAAGTTGTGTCATTTTTAAATCTCGGAATTACATGCAGAAAAAAAGATGAATATTTCTGCATAGGCAACCCATTTGACGTTTCATAAACAGCTTTGATTCATTTTTATTTTTAAATAATAATGAACGCATAGATAGCAGTGATCAGAGCCAAAATTATGACAAATTATTTCTGTCGGCCCAATATTTTCAATTTTCTTTTGCTTTAAAATGTTTTCGAGTTCTGAAAAAACAGGCATGCTATTAATGTTGGGAAAGTATGACAAAAATGTTGATGCTGCTGTTCGTCTCTAGGCCAGGCAATATTCCAATAGAAGAACTCCCTCAAATCAAGCGTTTAGAACACTTGAAAAAATTTACGAGAATTTGGGGAATTAAAAAAAAAAGTTAGAAATCGAACTGTAACAACGCCGGATAATGAAGCTGCTCTAATCGAAATCGTAGCAGAAAATCCCCATGTGAGTCAAAGACAGATTCCAAGACAAATGGAGATTTGTTTGGGTTCGGTTTTCAACATCTTAAACCGATTTCATCCATACCATGTGAAAATTGTCCAACATTTAACAGAACGCGATTTTATCTAATATTTTACCTCAACTGTTGGAAAACGTAGAGCTAGACATACGAAGACGTTAGGAACTATTTACACAGAGCGTTTGGACCAAGACTTATTGCTAGAGAAGAAGAGTGAAAAATGACGTTTATAGTGTCCCAATCGAAAATGAAAACCACTTACGTGAAAAGATAATAGCGTCATGCAGATCTATAACTCCCGACATGTTAGATAGAGTCGTAGAAATTTTGAACGTAGGATAGAACTTTGTGAAGATAGTGGAGGCAGGCATTTGAACATTTATTATAAATTCGTTTTCGTTGTAATCTGATCCATTAATAAATTGAATATTAATTTTTTAATTTTGTCATTATTTGGCACTGACATCTTTGTAATTTTTTTCTGTGATTGCTTATTAAAAAAAAAAAAAAAATGAAATTGGGGTGTATAATATGTTGCCTATGCAAAAATTGTCAGGCGTGAACAGATAAAATGAACTCCCTGTATAACACGTATTGAAGTGAAATTTCATTATTAGTCCAGTCAAATTAGCGATTAACCTCGGAATGAGAGATAATAAGCTGAATTTTCGTATATACCTTCATTTTAGCGTTCTAAAAGTTGTCTCAAAAGTCTCATAAAATCTCGTGTCTGCGTCGTAAGTTATTCAAGGTCAAAGGTGAAGAAAAACAGTTTTTTGCGATTATCTCGGTTTCTAGTGCTCCAATGATGTTAACATCTATTATCGTAATTGTAGAGCACAAAATTTGGGACACATTTTATTTGAAACACTTTTACATGCGCTCAATCGTTTTTGAGATAGAGGGCAGTGAGCGCGCAGCGCTCATCCATACGTACTGTAATGCAATCAACCGTGAATATCTGTGAATACTACCTTTAATTTTGAATAATTTGTATTATTTATCAGTTAATACATTGCATTTAATAACATTTTACATATTTTCAATACATTCATTTAATGATAATGATACTTACCTACTTTGTGGAATTAAAAACTCTTTAAATGAAATACTTATTGTATGTATAACTTAATTTATTGAAAGTAGATTTTAAGTAGAAAAATAACTAAGTACTTTATCTTTCAAATGTGTAAGTTTTTATATATTAGATAATATATTATACTTGTTATATTATTATATATCTAAAAGTTATATTAATTTTTTCAAAGTAAAAATTTAAGGAAGTAAAACGAGTTAATGTATTTTAATTTTATCTTTGTTCAGTACCTGTGCATTTCTTACGATTGAAATTGAATTGTAGTGAAAATCTAGAAATCTTTAATAATTTATAGAACAAAAGTATTAATTTTCTTCTTCTTCACCGTCATCTTCTGGACGTTCGGGAATTTCTGTTTCATCGTCATCATCTTCGGTGCGCTGAATCGTTGTTTCCAGACCTTCCAGTTATAATCATGATAGAAAAATAAGTATTTAAAACCTTACGCATTTTAAAGATATAAATTAATCTGAAATATACAATAAATATTTCATTAAATGCGTTTTTAATTACACAAAGTAGGTAAGTATTATTCAGTGAATATGTTGAAAATATGTAAAATGTTTAAATACAATGTATTAATTGATAAATAATACAAATTTTTCAAAATTCAAGGTAGTATTCATAGATATTCACGGTTGATTGCATTACAGTACGTATGGATGAGCGCTGCGCGCTCACTGCCCTCTATCTCAAAAACGATTGAGCGCATGAAAAAATGTTTCAAATAAAATTTGTCCCAAATTTTGTGCTCTACAATTATGGTAATAGATGTTAACATCATTGGAGCAATAGAAACCGAGATAATCGCAAAAAACTGTTTTTATTCATCTTTGACCTTGAATAACTTACGACGCAGACACGAGATTTTATGAGATTTTTGACACAACTTTTAAAACGCCAAAATTAAGGTATATACAAAAATTCAGCTTATTATCTCTCATTCCGAGATTGATCCCTTTTTTATCCTAAAATGACTGGACTATATAACTGTCTAAGAAGTGTGCTTTCATAATACAGGGTTTTCATAAATGATTATAGGGTCGCAGTAGGTTATGGATGTGTGCCGCCTTTCGCTTTATGTGTACTTTACTAAATGTGTCCTTGGGCACGACAAGCACCACATGCATCTGTATAACTGGTTGCCTAAATGCTTCATGATTAAATATCGAAAACGCATGCGTCAATACCACTACCTCCGTGGTCAATACACATGTGACTAACATAACAAGGCGATACTGGCGATAACAAGTGAAATTTTTGGTTGGCTGTTGATATACACACGCACAAATTCCAATAACTAAATCATCCACGGAAAAAGAAGTTCCACGTTTAGGAGTATATTTGTAATGAAGTGCAGGAGGCGAAGCGCCCGTGTGTCCTTTCAAAAAGTTAGCACGCGTTGGTGACCATAAAAAGTTAGGTTATGTTAGCAACGGCTGCAATGCTGCAATTAAAGAATGCACGAATGCGAAATTTAACAAATTTTTGTGGCAAAAGGAAGCATTTGCATAACATTTGAAGATGAGGAACGTGATCAAAAGATGCTGTAGAAGAGCTTTGCACAAACAGTTTGTGCGAAATCGAGAAGCGCGTGTTCTGCGCGATGTTACGGAGTTAGATAAGCGCAAATGTAGTTCATTTTCAAACTGTTTTTCAGAAGTTGAAGGCGCATTGATGACCAGTGGGACCAAGGGCCTTTGGTGGTTAAATATGCCTTTATATACATGGACACCAGATGCATGTGCTTAGAAAGATGATTTTTGATTAAGAACTCAGAGCAAGAGTATCTTTAATGGTGTATACAAATTTGACAAACAACGCATTTTAATGTCTGATAACTACATTTCCTATCCATCAGTTCTACTTCATGAAAGTTAGTTTTGGTTTGTGAGTGCATTAAATGTTTTACAGCAGATTCTTTAGCTACATTATCAAAACTTGTCTGGGTGGCAAGTTTATGGGACTTACTGACCAAAAGGTCATGGTGAATAGCTGTAAGTCATAAAGTAGATGAAATTCTTGACCAAGATGTATCCTTCAGTAGTTTCTTCAAAGTGTCTAAACATGTTTCCAGCCCTCTATTGGTTTACCACCAAAATATTTGTATTTCAAAGATCTGTGCAAAGATTTGGCGTGCATGTTGGTGTTAATGCCTGCGTTCTTTTGATAACACTGGGCCCATGACTTCATGCGCTCTTTATTTTGAAAGTAGTAAGTGTTTAAATAATTCACAAATTTACTTTTTACCAAAAATTTAATCAGCTCTTGCTTCAGTCTTATAAATTTATTTTCATCTGTTTCTTTTAATACATAATCTAATTTTGTAAGAATCTGATTTATTGTTCCAGGCATTCCAATATGTAGCTGTAACTATCATCTGTCATGAAATAATTGGGTACCAAAACCGATATTAATGATTTTATTTCACCAACCAAAACCTCTTATATGTTGGTGTCCTTTCAGTTGGACAGAATAAATGTTACTGGATAATCAATATTTTTATCATCTAACACATGGACTTGTGGTCATTTCAATGTCATAGAGGTTTGTCCCATGTGTGCCATCTACACAAATGATTTTGGCGCCATATTTTTTTAACATATACTCCAGCCCACTGTACATGGAAGCTAAAGCAGTCATTTTTGTGCAATTTTTCATGTTCTGATGCACAACAAGATTTTCCTTACTTCATTTACCAGATATATTATTTTTTCTGCAATGTGGGGAATGTCTTTCATAGTCAGAAGATTAAATCTGGTACATGAACTGAGTTCTAGATTTTTAACAGTTTCAATTACTTTTTCGTGTGTTAGACCAGTGCGAATTTGTTCAACTAGATATGTCGTTTCTTTTGTAGTTAGGGGTTGACAGCGAAGATCATTGTGATGAACAACATGAATAGCAATAAACTGAACAAGTACCACTGAGGAAGAATGATCAAAGTGAGCTGTAATTCGTGAAGGACAGACTCCTTGCATTTTGATACTGCCACTAGTTTTAGGACCTCGTATATTACATTTACTAACAGAATTTGCTAGATTACTTCTGACATTCATAGTAGAAAATAATAATTCGTCATATAAAAGAATTAGTTTTTAACTCTAAATCTGCTTTTCGTGTAAAAAAAATCTTCCGTTTTCTTAAATTGTAGATCCTTTACTTCCAACTCAATGTTATAAACGATGTTGAAATGATTCGTTAATAAGTGAAAACGCTGAAAGTTTTCAAAGCATAGCGGACAAATTATTCTGCTAGTTTTTAATATTTTTGAAATTGTCGCCGTGAAAATATCTTAGATGTCGATTTGTACTTGAAATTATTTCACACAATAAGCACATTTTGTTAACACTTCAAACTTTTGGATGCTCATACTGAAATATGTTTTGTCATGTCTAGTGCTTGTTTTTACTTAATAAAATAATAGAACTTTATCTGTCCATTGTCCTTTTCATAAAAATTACACGAAATTCTTTAATTAGCCACAAAACAATAGTATATTACAAAATTAATATTTCACTTCCCGCCACAAAAGTACATATTCAACGAAAATGTATAAACGTAAAAGATAAAAATCCAAATATAACTTTGACTGCTGGGTAGCTTCTAAACCCTCATCGTAGAGTCATATAAAATCAAGGACCACCAGATGGGTGAACGGACACCGATAATAATCAGAGTTTTTACGGTTTGAGATTTCATTCAGTTCTATCAAAAATTTTATTGTACATAATAAATAGGTATTTAGAACGTAGTGTGATTTCATTTTAAGTATCAAGCTTCAAAATATACTTTCGTTGCTAATTTTAAAGACTAGTTTTTGATTTTTGTTGTTTTTTTTGTGTACAGATTTGTTTCAATGCAAAATTAGGTCACCCACATAGAATTTGAACATTTGAAATTACGCGGGAGTAATTTGTTACCCTCATGCGCGGAACTCCAACATTCTTGATAGTCAATTTGTTGTTAAAAATAAAAATAATTCATAATGGAATAAACAAACAAATTTATTGTGGTTAAACATCACAGTAAATGTTGAAAATGTTCACCATTTAGTTCAAGGCACATATTCACTCTCTTTTTCTTACTTTCAAAAATGTTCTGTAACATCCTTCCATCAATGCTTTGAACCCATCGTTCAATTTCATGTTGCAACTCTGCCAAGTTATTCATTTGCCGTTGAAACACTTTGTCTTTCAAATATCCAAATATTGAAAAGTCCAATGGCGTAAGATCTGGGGAACGTGGTGGAAATGCATGCTGCACTCCTAAACTTATTACACGATCGTCATAATGTTGTTGTAAATATTCCAATGTAGCACGTGCAGTGTGTGCAGTCGCGCCGTCCTGTTGAAAGTACCCTAACTGCAGCTCTTCGTCATCAAGTTGTTGAATAAATGGTTCCAAAATCTGTTGCCTATACCTCTCTCCAGTCATAGTATCTTGAAAGAAAATAGGTCCATATATTCATCTACGAGAAACTGCCAACCATACTCCAATTTTTAAAGGATGAAGAGGCGTCTCTACAAAAACATGTGGATTTTCCGCGGACCAAATTCTAAAATTTTGCGAATTGACATAGCCAGATAAATGAAACCATGCTTCATCACTAAAAAATGTAAGATCCAGTAACCCGTCATCATGAAAAGTATTCTGAAACCAATTGCAATATTCTACGCGGCGTGGAGGATCTATTGGTAAAAGTTGTTGCACAGTAGTTATTTTGTAAGGATGCATATGCAATCGTTTTTTCACTACTTTGTGACATGTGGTTACGGGAACTCCTGACTGTTGAGATAATCTTGTCAAAGATGTTTGGGGATTCTGCTCGAGTCTTTTTCTCAAATCATCAACAACTTCCTCAGATACTGCAGGTCTCCCAGAAGATTTCCCTTTGTTGACATTGCCAGTGCGAACAAATCTGTTGATGACATCTCTAATGTGAGCCTCTAATGATGTTTCTTGAATTTCCAAATCAGGGTAATTGGCCAGATATTCTTGCTTACAAGCGGCTACAGAATACAGCCACGCTCCGTCTACGAATGTCCCATTGCGATAATAAGACATAACGATGAAAGTGTTTTGCTCAACCGAATAAACCATTTTCACGGTCTTCGCTTCGAGCACAAAGTTTTCGCACGCAAGCACCAAGAGCCTTGAGAAAGGCTATTTTGTTGTTTTAAACTTGGATCAACGAGAATTACTGTAAATCACACTTGGAAAGTGGTAGAACAATAAAAGCGATGATTTTAAGTGACAGGTTACAAATGACAAGCACAATGACAAGTGAGAACTGTCAAATGAGACAATTTCAGCAAAGCGGCATTTTTGAAATCCATGGCCAACTACGCCCTTAGAATCATTTATGAAAGCCCTGTAGTTACATATAAGTAACTACCTTATCTGAACAAGTCATTAATCCAGATCAGTAGTGAAACATCCAAACAAAATAATGACGACCGTTTTTCATATTTCTTACCTTAAACTGCACCCCCATTTTTTCATCAAATTCAAAAATCGTGTGGCGCACCTCGTTTGATGTTTTCATCTCGAACGACCCAAAATGTAACAAAAAATGTTCTAAAACATTTCCTAACCTCACATTTAAAACAATTTAATTCAACAAGAAAAAATCAGGGAATTTTCATTATTGCGCTAGATTTTCATGGCTAACACGATTTCGAAAAGATCGAGAATGGACAATGGAAATTGACATTAGTATAACTGGTTGCATAATCTACCAACACTCTTAATGCATTGACATTCATTTTAAAACTGAAAATAGTAGAGCATTCAGTTGAAATTGCCAAACAATATAAATAATGTAATCACAAAGATACGATACAGATACTACTACATCAATGTTTTATTTATTTTTTGCGCCACAGTAGTCGAACGGTTTTTTATTGCCAGTTTGTAATTTCCAATTTCAATTTCAATCCTTTAATAAATCACAGAAAAACGAATTTAAATTCAATTTAAATGAAAATGAAAGAATCACTCCCTGGAGCGAATAAATATTGCTCCATAAATAAATATTGGCATAAGAAAAAGTAGCCTGTTTTTTCCAGCTAATTAAAATCCAAACTGAAACCCTTTTCTACCCCCTGTAGGTACGGCAACTACCTATACGACAGTCCCCACTCGACTTACTCGCCCACTGTACAAAACACCCTATATAACGACACATACAGCCATTTAGAAAGTCCAGAGAAGGTCAGCTCGCTAGAACGCAGCAAGAAAATACTACAATCACAGGTGAACGCCTTAGACAACGCTGTCTACGGCACCACCAACAGCTACGCCCAAAATAACCAAGACCATCAAATTAATTACAACTCTTTCGGTAGAAACGCACCTAAATTCACGCCGCTTCCTGCTAGGCCGCCAATGTATTCGTCGAAAGACTACAACCAGGAAAGTAAACCGTACAGTCCGACTACAACTCCAACTTCGACACCGCATAGCCCCTACAAACTCCTCCCGACTTCCCCCAGAACCGCAACCAGTTCGTCCTTCGACTACACGAGTACCAAACCTAGTGGTCACATAAGTTTCGAAAAGTACCACGTGACAGATAAGTACCAACCTAGTGAGAAACCTCTGAGTTTCGGCGACTACAACCCGTCCGGTGATGGCTTTTCGACTTCCGAGTTCACCACAAACACCTACAAAATACCAGGGGGGTACAAAACGGATAGTTACAAGTACGAATCGTACAAATCTGCGTCGCAACCTACTTATTCGTCCCTTTCGGAGAAGTACTACACGAGTACGCCGAACGCGAAGTTGCAGTTGAGTCCTTTTGATAAGAAGAATTTTGAATCTTTTAGTAATGGAACAGACAATCAGTACCAATCATCTTTTTCTACGAATGTCGAGTACGTCAGTGAGCCTCCAGTTTTGAAGGACACTGACACGCTGGAGCAGAAAATGTTGAAAAAGTCTGTGACGCAGCAAATAATAGAGAAGAAAACGGTCCAGATGACGAAGAGCAGCAAGCAGGAGTCGTCCACGAAGAGCTTCAAGTTTGAGTAAATCGGTCTTTATTTCACTAACGGTTAGATTTCAGTGTATTTATTGATTTGATGGTGCTAATATTTATGCTTCTTTTATTAACCAAATGTTTTAATTAGATGTTTAATCGTGCCAATTAATTTAAGCTTGTAGATACGTCGGATTTTATATATTGTTTTGTTTGTACCTAGTTCAGTCAGTGCCAAAATTGCGTTTACTGGAAGCCGGAGTTACTTAAAGTGCCTGTTTCGGATCAAAAGTGTTACTTATTTTACAGCTTTAATACGTAAGCCTATCCAGTGCCTATTTTATTGAACATTTTTTATTCTAATTCTCGCTTTTTAATGTATTTTATGGCATTCAGATGGAATGTTCAGGTACCATTCAAGATTTGTAATTAAACTTTAGTCCATGAACTCTGGAAATCGGAGCCGATAATTTATATTAGGCGGCTAGTTTCTAGAGAATCGGGACACCAGATCACATTGTATAAATAAACTAATTGAAAAGTTTCTAATTGTATTATTCCCTTCCGAAGTTGACGATAATTACTGGGATCAGTTGGTTGTGAAGAACTGTCAAGGAAATTTTCGCACTTATTCAATTAAGATAAGAGGGTAATCTATTTCGCTTAGGATCAAGTTTAATTATAAACGAATACAGATGATCCTTCGTGCGTAAATCAGCCTTGACATTTAAATCCAGAGAAACAAGCAAAATATTAATTAATTTAGAGAAGTACAAAGATAAATCGTGACGTCACTATTGGGATAACAAAATTTTTGGGTAAATGAAAAGTGGCAATTCTGTTTGCAGGGTTATATTTACCAGCCAACATACACGTCATTCGACTCAATATATTTTTTCAGCCACGTATAAATGGGTTTATAATATTCTAAAAACGGTTTTGTAGAAATTTGAGGGGTTTCACTAATTATTGAAAGCGCTTCAGGCCAGGGGATGCTCGAGCCTTTTTCCATCATAGCGCTGAAAAACACACTGAGAACAAATCAAAACATGTACTGAGTAACTTACAGCAGTTTTTTCCCTGCATTTTTCGACCCATAAATATCGCATTTGTGAAGGGGTAAGTTACTGTCTTCGTTACTACTAGCCGCTGTTCCATACAGCGTCAGCTCACACAAGCTTTTGAAAATTTGGACTTGTAGTATGCTACTTAAGAAATAGCGTATGTATGGAGTGTTATCAGGAATGTGAAATTTGGCTCCAGCGTCAAAGTATCTTCCACTTCTATTTTCAGGTGGAACGATTCCTCTGTACTTTTTGTTCAAGTGCCAGTAGTATTCGTTCCACTTGTCGTAAGGGACGTTGTCTCTGAAAATCTCCCAGCGGTATTTATCGATGATTAGAGAAAAGGGAATTTCTGGAATTTTAGACAAAGCTTGGTAGAATAGCAGGTAAAGTTCTGTGTTGTTGTCGATTAATTGATTGTCGGTCAGTAAACTAAGGCGATGGAGGTGTTGAGGTGTCATGACACCGTGCATTACAGCGTCTCCTATGCTTTCGTGAAAAGCGGTTGTGGTGCCATCCTGAAGAACATATTTAATTTTCACTTTAATATTGGAAAATTATACGAACTTGAAACACAGCGGGTTGTTCTTGATACGCCATATAGTATTCGATGTGTCCCATTTCGTGATGAATGATGTAAAAATCTTCCATGTTAACTTTACCACACATTAGCATTCTAAAATTGAAATAGTAAGGAAAGCATCAGTGATAGTTAGTGTTTACCTGAAGTCGTCGCGACTGTATAAGTCAGCCGCTGTTCCATGACACAGCGTGGTGTTCTCATTTTCCTCAAAAATCGAGAATTTCCAAAACTTGTCAGTCATTTCTGGAAGACGCAAAGACGTGTAAAAATCTTCAGCTTCTAGAACCTTAACAATATGTGTGAAAACTATCAGTGCACCAAATATATTAAGTATTTTACCATATCTTTGACTGTCAAATTTTTATTTTGTAATTTTTCGTTTAAATTTATGTTTGCACTTGAAACTGAAAATAATTCTAGTAAAGACACCCAGTCTTGTCCCCACATGTTTCCTGAAACCAGTGGGTTATTACTGCGTTTTTTGTAAGGTTCAATTACCTAATAAGTGTACAGGAATTGGTCCCTTGGGATCAATATGTGAAGGTCCATATTTCTGGTAAAGCTTGTGTCGCACTACAGCGTGTAACATTACGTACAGGGGCTGTATTTCTTCGTATAAATCAAAGACGAATTTTTCCAAGTCGGGGGTTTCGAGTTCTTCACGCCACACTGCGCCGATGTCGTCGTAACCTGAAGGCGCAAATTATTTAGGCTAAAGTGTTTACTATTTGAGAGTGTGACAATTTTTTGGACACATTGAAATGTTTTTATGGATGGTGACCCGGCGCATCCACATTTTTCCAATTTCAGTGTTCTTATATGGACCCTTGGTGGACTCTTATTATATTTAAAAAAATTTTTTGACTCTGTTTTAAACCTTAAGTTCTACTGCTTATCAAAACTGAATTGAATTCCCATATTATAGTAACTAAAGTAACTGAGTGAAATAGAGAAAGGAGGTGGGCGGGACTAACTTTCGCATTTTTCTACAGTCCCATAAAAAAGAAGTAGTCCCGCCCACCCAACCCTCGTTATTCTAATGACTACTCTTAATATTATTAAGATATATATTGTTTTTGATGTTTTCCAGCAAATTTTACTTTGTAAATTCTTGTACAGAAGAATAATAATTAAACTGGGAATATTTTCTTGTTATCCAATTTAGGAATCTTTCCTTGTAAAAAAAACAACAATTCAGTTCGTGGTCACGTGTGCCTTAGGGAGAGTCAGAACAACATAAAATGTTATAGATTTTTAAAAACATCAATATCCTGTTTGCTTTTGTTAAGACTATTTTCGATACAAATAAATACAGAGTGAGCGACTAAAAAGTCTAAGACTAAAGTTGCATACAGTTATTTGAAAATCATTTACTAAAATTATATTTTCGAATATACAGAGTGTTTTAGTGTTTTGTTTTTAAGGCAGAATACACAAGTGAGTTGTTTCAAATATATTTTAACACCTTCTTGGAATTTATAACCTCAGATCATTTTAAAATTCCTATGTGGCGTTCTTTTTAATTTGAAGAAAAAACTGAAATGTTTGACAGTTGTAATCATTTAAAAATATATAAACACTCTGTATATTAGGACTCAATTTTATTTATACCACAACCACTCTTTATAAAATATTGCAAGACGTATCTTAAAAATAATATTATTGCCATTTTTTTTATTAATCCTTGCATCCTAAAAAAATTGTATCACGTGGCAACGTCGCAAAGGAATTCCAAAAATTGGCTTTTATAAAGCCTAAAAAGAGCCTAATAAAAATACATACGATATTCTGTTTGAAAAACTAAGTTGTGCGATATTTCTCGAAAACAAAACACTCTGTATAGTTTAACATAATTTGGATATATGCTACTCGACGAGCCGTATCACTGTGGTATCTGATTTTTTTATTCTATCTGTAATGATAAAATTAATGAAATATCAAGGACCACGCACATACTGACCCAGTCTGTATAGAAAGAAAGTAGCTATTAAAGTCCTACCAACACTGCACTTATCATTTTAATTTTAATTTGAGTGGAGTTATCAAAGAAACGAGGTCGGAAGTGAGTTCTAGAGCTCGAAATTTACAAGAAAATGTATTTAGATAAGTTTCAAAAATGAGTCAAAATTTGAAGAAAGGAAAAATTTCACTTTTCTCAAAAATTCAGACATGTAGATCTCGACGTGTTAATTCCAAAAATACGGCATGTGGATGGTCATTTCGCAACATTTCAAAATTTTCGGTTTTAATATCAAATTTTTCAAAAATTCTAAAAATTTCGATATTCAACGGCCGATTCTGAGAAAACTGTTGGAGCTATTAAAGAAACGAGGTTGGAAGTGAGTTCTAGAGATCAAAATTTACAAGAAAATGTATTTATTTAAGTTCCGAAAATGATCAAAAATGGGCTGAAATTTGAAGAATTTGGAAAAATTTTACTTTTAAAAAAAGTTGTCTAAAATTTTTCAAAAAATTCAGGGATGTAGATTTCGACATGCTGATTCCAAAGTATAGCGTATTTATGGTCATCGCGCAACATTTTCAAAATTTTAGATGTTAATAACAATTTTTTTAAAAATTCAAAAAATTTCGATGTTTCAACGGTCGATTCTGAGAAAACTGTTGGAGCTATAAAAGAAACGAGGTTGGAAGTGAGTTCTAGAGTTCAAAATTTACAAGAAAATGTATTTAGTTAAGTTCCGAAAATGATCAAAATTGGGCCGAAATTTGAAGAATTTGGAAAAATTTTACTTTTAAAAAAAGTTGTCTAAATTTTTCAAAAAATTCAGGGATGTAGATTTCGACATGCTGATTCCAAAAGTATAGCGTATTTATGGTCATCGCGCAACATTTTCAAAATTTTGGGTGTTAATAACAATTTTTTTAAAAATTCAAAAAATTTCGATATTCAACGGCCGATTCTGAGAAAACTGTCGGAGCTATCAAAGAAACGAGGTTGGAAGTGAGTTCTAAAGCTCGAAATTTACAAGAAAATGTATTTAGTTAAGTTCCGAAAATGATCAAAAATGGGCCGAAATTTGAAAAAAGGGAGAGTATTGGAAAAATTTCACTTTTAAAAAAGTTGTCTAAAATGTTTAAAAAAATTCAGACATGTAGATTTCGACATGCTGATTCCAAAAGTATAGCGTGTTTATGGTCATCGCGCAACATTTTCAAAATTTTGGGTGTTAATAACAAATTTTTCAAAAATTCAAAAAATTTCGATGTTTCAACAGCCGATTCTGAGAAAACTGTTGGAACTATCAAAGAAACGAGGTTGGAAGTGAGTTCTAGAGCTCGAAATTTACAAGAAAATGTATTTAGTTACGTTTAGAAAATGATCAAAAATGAGTCGAAATTTGAAAAAGGGAACAATTTCACTTTTAAAAAAGTTGTCTAAAAATTCTCAAAAAATTCAAGGATGTAGATCTCGAGATGATGGTTCTAAAAGTGTAGCGTGTTTGTGGTTATCGCGCAACATTTTCAAATTTTTGGGTGTTGATAACAAATTTTGATTAATATCAAACTTTTCAAAAATTCCAAAAATTTCGATATTTCAACGACTGATTCTGAGAAAACTGTTGGAGCATCAAAGAAACGAGGTTGGAAGTGTGTTCTAAAGCTCGAAATTTACAAGAAAATGTATTTAGTTAAGTTCCGAAAATGATCAAAAATGGGCCGAAATTTGAAGAAGGGGAGAGGATTGGAAAAATTTCACTTTTAAAAAAGTTGTCTAAAATTTTTCAAAAAATTCAGGGATGTAGATTTCGACATGGTGATTCCAAAAGTATAGCGTGTTTATGGTCATCGCGCAACATTTTCAAAATTTTGGGTGTTAATAACAAATTTTTCAAAAATTCCGATGTTTCAACTGCCGATTCTGAGACAACTGTTGGGGTTATTAAAGAGACGGGGTCGGAAGTGAGTTCTATCGAAATTTGAAAAAGACAAATATTTCACTTTTAAAAAAGTTGTCTAAAAATTCTCAAAAAATTCAGACATGTAGATCTCGACGTGCTGATTCCAAAAATATACCATGTTGATGGTCATTTCGCAACATTTCAAAATTTTCGGTCTTAAAAACAAATTTTTCAAAAATTCAAAAAATTTCGGTTTTTCAACGGCCGATTCTGAGAAAACTGTTGGAGTTATCAAAGAGACGGGGTCGCAAGTGAGTTCTAGAGCTCGAAATTTACAAAAAAATGTATTTAGTTAAGTTTAGAAAATGATCAAAAATGAGTCGAAATTTGAAAAAGGCAAAAATTTCACTTTTAAAAAAGTTGTCTAAAAATTCTCAAGAAATTCAGACATGTAGATTTCGAGATGCTGATTCCAAAAGTAAGCGTGTTTATGGTCATCGCGCAACATTTTCAAAATTTTGGGTTTTAATAACAAATTTTTCAAAAATTCAAAAAATTTCTATGTTTCAACGGCCAATTCTGAGAAAACTGTTGGAGTTATCAAAGAAACGAGGTTGGAAGTGAGTTCTAGAGTTCGAAATTTACAAGAAAATGTATTTAGTTAAGTTCCGAAAATGATCAAAAATGGACCGAAATTTGAAGAAGGGAAGAGTATTGGAAAAATTTCACTTTTAAAAAAGTTGTCTAAAATTTTTCAAAAAATTCAGGGATGTAGATTTCGACATGCTGTTTCCAAAAGTATACCGTGTTTATGGTCATCGCGCAACATTTTCAAAATTTTGGGTTTAAATAACAAATTTTTCAAAAATTCAAAAAATTTCGGTGTTTCAACCGCCGATTCTGAGAAAACTGTTGGAGAAAAAAATGTATTTAGTTACGTTTAGAAAATGATCAAGAATGTGTCGAAATTTGAAAAATGGAAAAATTTCACTTTTAAAAAAGTTGTCTAAAAATTCTCAAAAAATTCCAAATTATTAATTAATGTTTGTGATTTTTTTCTGCCACGTTGGCAACATATTTAAAATTTTATGGCATACCTGATGCCATCTTCTCATTGGCTTGCTAATACTACTGCCACTAATGCACAATTGCTTCAGTCATTAATAGTCACCCGGTATTTTGCAGATCTGTTGTTACTCGTATGTGGTGAATTTCTAGCTAAAAAAATTTTATGGTTTTTAGCTAGCTAGTTCAAGAGAAACAACTTTAACGAAAAATTAAGTTACAAAAAAAAAATGCGGTTCATAAAAAAGCAAAGAAATCGCTGTTTTTTAAGAAGGATGAAGGATTTTATGTTTTATCACGAATTTAGACACAATTTGGACAATTCATCAGTGCGGAAAAATTTTGGTTAACACTTCAAAATTTTGACAAATCAAGTGTGGCCTATTATTGCGAATCCACTTTACTTTATTATTACTATACTACATTTTTTACGTCATTGTAGCGCCGATTTATTTGCTTGGTAGTACTAGAATTATTTTAAACTTGGTCGAATTCATCGAAAGTACGAAATTTAATGAAAGAAATTGGACTTATGTTAAAATTCTTGAAATTATAAAAATTTCTAGAATTTTTATAATTGCCATGTCAAGCTGAAATTACTGAAATGTATTTTTTTAATTCACCGGAATTTATGTGATGTGAGTCAGATATTATTTATTTTCTGTATAATTTTTTTATGTTGTTTGGAAGAATTACTACCGGAAATAATTATTGAAGTATATGTTTAGATTTTTTTTTTAGAATATTGGAATTCATGCAAACCATTCGGAAATCCTACTATGTGAGAAAATTAGAGAGAAGATAATGAATTAAAAATTATGTAATTGTTTCAGTTATTATTTTTGGATTTTTAATCCCAAAGTCTGTGATCTCGCAGAAAAAATATATTAATCTGCTCAAATTATAAAAACAAAACCACTTTGAAGTTAGCTTTCTACACCTTGAAGTATTTTTTTCCTTAAAATATGTTCATTTCAGGTATGGAGCTTTAATTACCTACCTGCTGCTATACAAACTGACATCAATTTAAGTCACCAAAACACGAATCGAAATACCAATTCGGAGCTAATTTCAGCGACATAAAATCAAACAGTTGTGGGTTTAGCTCTGACTTCAACAAAAATAATAAAATGTTAAAATTATTGTTAAATTCCTACCATTGCTCCTCGCTGCAAGATTCTGGTATTCCACAGCCACCCGAAACGGCACTTTAACCCTAGGCCCCACCGAATCGTGCCAATTAAGCCAAATCCACTTCAGCTGCTCCGGATCCAAATCGTTCCTTTTCATAATCCTTTCCAAATCTGGCTCCCCGTACAAACAATCCCCTTCCTCCGGAAAATTCGGCGCGCTTTCGTTAACTTTCACCGGACGCCCTTCCAAGCACACTTCCGAATTGTACTCCTCCGATAATTTCCCCAAAACCTCCAAATACTCCCTGCAACATAATTAGAGAAGTGTTTTCCGAGCAAAATAACACTCACAAGACCATTTGATCGCCGAACTTCGGCCCCCTGCACATCAGATAAATTTTCCTTCTCTGTTCCGGCATCGTCCAGTCGGTTCTGATCGTGGATTCGCACACTTTGTTTTTCCACCTGTTCCTCGCTTTCCCCAGCTGGCGAGCTTGCCACAAAGTTTTCTCGTCAGGGTCGGTGGACAGCTTCCAAGTTAGGTGGGCCGCCAGCGAATTGAAGTGGGATAAATCAGAATCGACGTCATTGAGCCATTTCTCGACGACGTATTGGTATTGAACTGAAAGAATTGAGGTTGAGGTGGAGTTTTCTTTTAATTGGAGGTGGAGAGGTTTTTCAGCGTGGGAAGTGGGGCGGATTTTTATTTTCTTTGACTGGCTGCCTGGAAAGTCGAGTGTGGCTGCTGTGGTCGCGTTTTGCGTTGTTTGTTTTTTAAATTATTTTACTAATTTTATTTGGAGAAAAAGCTGCTGCAGAAGCTTTTGATGTAGCGGTGCTAGGGCGGTTTTTTTAACTTTTGCCACAATTATTCTGGTCTGATAATTTTCAAATCCAACATTTCTTACAGAAGAGATGGTTATTTTTTCCTCTTGACTTATTTCAGAAAAAACAAACGTCCCAAAACTTGTGCAGCTCTCAGAAAAATCAATTTTAGCTTTTATTTACTTTTTAACGTTACGAAAATAATTCTACAGGATAAAAGTGAGAAGCGACTGAACATTTAATAGATTTCCGTTTGTCTGTCTGTTTGTGTTTTGGTTATTTTACTAAACTATGATCTCCAAAATTACTGGACTGACTAGGGGGAAATTTTCTATGTATTTTAAGAAAATCTTGAAAAAATTAGCTAATTTTAAAATTGAATGACGTCATCTCACAAGTTTCTTAAGTTAACCCTACTTAAAATGTGCACCATAATATGTTTCTGGGCCCGTAATTTAAAAATTCTCCCTGTTGTTGATCTTATGCCTAGGTTTTTGGCAAAAGAATCGAAATTGTACTAGAAAATCTGAACTGTAAATAATAAAATTAATAGTCGGTTTCAAAATCAAAATTTTTGAAAATTTTAAAAATTGCCATATTTTATATTGGCGTTTCTGGAAAAATGGTAAAAATAGTAGTTGAAACAAAGTCAAAATTTTCGTATTAAAAAATTGCCCAAAGATTTTCGAAATATTTGGTGAAAGTCATTTTTTTATTGCCATTTTCGTTGTGCGATTCTGGAAAAATGACTGTCCGAAAAAAATGAGGTCGAAAGTAAGTAAAGATCAAAATCTACAACAAAATCTCTTTTGGTAATTTTCGAAAAAAGTCAAAATTTTCATAAATTGAAAAATTGAGTGTTTAAAAAGTCCACAGAAAAATCTGGAATATAGATCTCCGCGAGCTAATCCGAAAAATATGACATATTTATAGTCCCGGAGGAAAAATTTAGAATATTCGGTTTGAAAATTATTATTTTTAATCCAAAGAATGGTCATATTTCATTAAACTGTTTTGGAAAAATGGTAAAAGGCATCAAGGAAATGAGGCCGAAAGTGACATCTGGAGGTCAAAAAAATCTAGGTTTTAGATATCGACGACCTTATTCGAAAAATATAGCGTATTTATAGTTCCAGAGCAAGATTTTAGAAATATTTGGTATGAATAATTTTTTTTTTAAACCGAAAAATTTGTTATATTTTATTAAGGGGTTCTGAAAAATGGTAAGGGTTATTAAAGAAGTGAGTCCGAAAATAATATCTGGAGGTCAAAATCTACAAAAAATCTCTTTAGGTAATTTTCGACGGTGGTAGAAAAAAGGTCAAAATTTTCATACATTGAAAAATTGAGCTTTTGAAAGTCGTCTAAAAATCCGCAAAAAATTCTGGGATGTAGAAGTCAAAATCTAGAAAAAATGTCTTTAGGTATTTTTTGAGGGTGGTTAAAAAAAATCAAAGTTTTCATATATGCATTGAAAAATTGAGCTTTTGAAAGCACATAGATATGGACAACCTGGTTCGAAAAATATACTGTATTTATTTCTACTCCCGGAGCAAGATTTTAGAAATATTCAGTTTGAAAATATTTTTTTTTATCTTAAAACTTGCCGTAAGTATTTCATGGAGAATGATAAAGTATTTTGGAAAATGATAAAACTTATTAAGGAAATAAGCCGGAACGTAATTTGTGGAGGTCAAAATCTGCAAAAAAATCTCTTTAGGTAATTTTCGAAGGTGGCGGAAAAAAGGTAAAAATTTATATAAATGGAAAAATTAAGGTCTAATTGTCTAAAAATTCACAAAAAATTCTAGAAAATAGATCTCGACGACTGATTAGAAAAATTTGGGCTACCTATATATTTAGGTATAACTCCGGGACACGATTTTAGAAATATTCTTTCTGAAATTTTTTTTAATCCGAAAAATATTCATAATTTTTTGAGCAATTCTGGAAAAATGCTAAAAGTTACCAAGAAAGTGGTGCCGAAAGTAATTTCCAAAATGTACAAAAAATAGGTAGGTAATTTTCCAAGGTGGTCGAAAATTTTCAAAAATTGAAAAACTGAACTTTTGAAAGTTTATAGGGAGCAAAATTTTTGAAATATTTGGTTTGAAAATATATATTTTTTTAAATTCGAAAAATTACCATATCTCACTAAACAATTCTGGAAGAACAGTAAGAGTCATCAAATAAATGAGGCCGAAGTAGTTTCTAAAAGTCAAAATCTACAAAATAAATTTCTTTGCATAATTTTCGAAGGTGGTCAAAAAAGGTCAAAATTTTCATATTTTGGAAAATTGAACTTTTGAGTTAAAAAAGTTCGAGAATATAGATATCGACGAACCTATTCGAGAAATATAGCGTATTTATAGTCCGGGAGCAAAATTTTAGAAATATTGGTATGTATTTTTTTTTAATCCGAAAAATTCTCATATTTCATTAAGCGATTCTGGAAAAAGTAACTGGAAGTCAAAATCTACAAAAAAAACTCTCCAGGTAATTTTCGAAGGTGGTAGAAAAAAGATCAAAATTTTCATAAATTGGTTAGTTGAACTTTTGAAAGTTGTCTAAAAATTCACAAAAATTCGAAGATATAGATCTCGACGACACTATTCGAAAAATATAGCATGTTTATAGTTTCGGAGCAAGATTTTAGAAATATTCGATTTGAAAACCTAAAAATTGCCATAAGTATTTAATCGAGCGATTCTGGAAAATGGTAAAAGTTATAAATTTCTGTCAAAAAGTCAAAATTCACAAAAAAAAAATCTCTTTAGGTAACTTTCGAAGGTGGTTCAAAAAAGGTCAAAGTTTTTATATTCGTATTGAGCTTTTCAAAGTTTCTTACAAATTCACAAAAAATCTGGGATTTAGATGTATCAAGATTTTAGAAATATTCGTTTTAAAAATATTTTTTTTTTATCTTAAAAAAATTCCACATAAAATTCTAGAAAGTAGATCTCGACGGCTGATTAAAAAAATATGAGGTATTTGTGGTCCCAGAGCCAGATTTTAGAAAGATTTTTTTGAAAATAGTTTTTTTTTAATCCGAAAATTTTCTATAATTCTCTGAACAACTGTGGAAAAATGGTAAGAGTTATCACAGTGAGACTGAAAGTAAAATCTGGAGGCCAAAATCTACAAAAAATATCTCTTTAGGTAATTTTCGAACGTGGTCGAAAAAAAGTCAAAATTTTCATAAATTGAAAAACTGAGCCTTTGAAAGTTATACAAACATCTACAAAAAAATCTGGGATATAGATCTCGATGACAGGATTCAAAAAATATAGCGTATTATGAGTTCCGGACCAAAATTTTAGAAATATTCAGTTTGAAAATATATATTTTTTTAAATCAGAAAAATTACCATATCTCGGTAGGCAATTCTAGAAAAGCAGTAAGAGTAAGTAAGGCCGAAGTAGTTTCTGGAGGTCAAAATTTACAAAAGAAATTTCTTTACATAACTTTCGAAGGTGGCCAAAAAAAGGTCAAAATTTTCATATTTTGGAAAATTTAACTTGAACGTTGTCTAAAAATCTACCAAAAATTCTGAAATATAAATCTCGATAAACTGATTAGAAAAATATAGCGTATTTATAGTCCTGAAGCAAGATTTTTGAAATATTTGGTTTGAAAACCTTTTTTTTTTGTTCTAAAAATTGCCGTAAGTATTTAATCGAGCGATTCTGGAAAAGTAACTTCTGGGGGTCAAAATTTGCAAAAAAATCTTTTGCGATTGAAAAAGTCAAAATTTTCATAAATGGAAAATTGAGGTTTTCCAATAATTGTCTAAAATCTACAAAAATTACTAGGAAATAGAATTCGTCGATTGATTTGAAAAAAATAGGGTTTTTATAGCCCCGAAGCTAGATTTTAGAAATATTCTTTTTGAAAATATTTTTTTTTAAATCCGAAAAATTTCCATAATCTCGCAATAATTTTGGAAAATGCCAAAAGTTACTAAGGGAGTGTGGCCGGAAGTATCTTCTAGAAGGCAAAATCTACAAAAAAATCTTCTTTAGGTAATTTTCGAAGGTGGTTAAAGAAGATTAAAATTTTCGTAAATTGAGAAAGTTATCTAAAAATCTACAAAAAATTCTGGTATATAGATTTCCATGACACGGTTCGAAAAATATAGCGTATTATAAGTTCTGGAGCAAAATTTTAGAAATACTTGGTTTGAAAACATATTTTTTTAATGAGAAAAATTTCCGTCTTTCATTAAGGAATTCTAGAAAACCGGTAGGAGTTATCAACGAAGTGAGGCCGAAAGTAGTTTCTCGAGGTCAAAATCTACAAAAAATTTCTTTAGACAGTTTGCAAAGATGGTTAAAAAAAGGTCAAAGTTTTCATACTTATTTGTATTGAAAAATTGAGCGTTTGAAAGTTTTCTAAAAATTCACAAAAAATCTGGGATATAGATCGATCAAGATTTTAGAAATATTCAATATGAAAATCTTTTTTTTTATCTTAAAAATTGCCATACGTATTTTTCGGTCAATTTTGGAAATTGGTAAAAGTTATCAAGCAAATGAAGCCGAAATTAACTTCTGTAGATCAAAATCTCTTTAAATATATAATTTTCGAAGGTGTTCGAAAAAAGGTCAAAATTTTCATAAATGGAAAAATTGAGCTCTTCAAAAATTGTCTAAAGATCTATAAAAAGTTCTAGGAAATCGATCTCGACGGCTGATTCGAAAAATATAGGGTATTTATAGTCCCGGAACAAGATTTTAGAAATATTCCTTTTGAAAATTATTTTATTTTTTAAATCCGAAAAATTTCCATAATTCTCTG